TTTTAAGTACAAAAAATCTCGAAAGATTTAACTTGAAATAAAACTAAACAGAAGGTATAAGGTGATGTACTTAAAACATTATTAAAATATATTTTAAAACTGAGGTCGCATCTCTTTAAGAGTATTTAAAGAGGTGTCTAAAAGTATGCTATACAAAAAACTTTTAAATCAAAAATTAAACAACTTTAAAAGCCAAGCTTAAGTAATTAGTTTGAAGAGTCGTCACTTTTTGGTTTAACCACCATGGTTGGCTGATTAATCATTAGATGAGCTCTTCAAGCTCATCAGATACCCACGCCCACGAATCGCAATAACCAGTAGCAGCAGAAAGCTCATCAATTTTTCAACAACTCTGACAGCCGAAAGCGACTTTCGGGCACATCATGTATCCATATAACTGGCAGTCACTAGAGCTAACTACAACACATGTAACATGTGAAACCGTGGCTTAATTACCTGCCGCAAGCTGTTGCCATTAACAACACATTTTTGGCCAGGCGACCCCAGGAACCTCGAACTCCGGGATTAGCCACCCCTACAATCACATTCACAATCCCAATCGATGAGTAAGGGTCTTAGGGGATCAGGACCCAATTCAATTAAATTGTCACAACCCACAGAATGACTGACTTGGATTTATAGTCCAATTAATTGAGGCAACGTCAACGCAAATGCAAAATTAAATGATTGCAAATGCTTGTCCTCATCGAGGAAGACGGATGCTGGTTGGTTGGTTGGCTGCCAACATGCAGGCAAATTTGTTAACAAAAAGGGATTTTCATGTCGAGATTTGCCAGCATCCATCCTCCACCATAAAAAAAAACCCAAAAAGAATGGAAAAAGGAGAAGAAAAGAAAGTAATTTAAATTTGTAAATCGATAGGCTTGACGGTCGCTCAACCCTTTTTTCCGTGTTTGTTTTTTTTTTAAACGTGCTGCTGTTCCCATTTAAATTTTATAAATATTTTAACTTAATAAATGCCAGGCAAGCGGTTGCCCACGGCGCCTAGAAGTCCCAGAATTTGCATAAACTAAAGAGGAGCTGGCAGTCTCGAGCTTCCACTCCTTTTGGCTGCCACTCAAGTGTTCTCTATTTTCGACTGGGGGCTGTCCTTTTCCTGGGCCTCGACAAACATTCTCAACTTGACTGCCAAAGCAGCCGCGGGCTGTTTTTTCAACCCCTTTTTCTTTCTGCTCAGCATACACGAAGAATTTCGTTCTTTCAGGTGCAGGTTCTTACAGCAGCTTTAACGGCTAATGGTCGTTGAATCGGTGCCGGGCTTAGGATTAGGGATGTATATGGGAAAATCATTGCCGAAAAATGTATAAAACAAGCAAAAATTGAATTGAAATAAAAAATCTTAATTTAAGATGATTTAAGGAAAGTTAAATATTGGTTTCTTAAGCTTAGTTGAAATTTCTTTAAAATTAAGCATTGAAATAGATCGAAATTACTACTACTACTACTTTTTTATAAATAGCTTTAAGATTAGGTCTGAAGTGTATAACTAACATATATTTTAGAACACTTCTTACATTTTTTTCCAACATAGTAAATAAAATAAAATAAATTATTTATATAGACCCACTCTAAAATATCACTTCTTCAATTTTACACCACTTTCAAGATGAAAGTGTGATTTTATAAATCGATGGCCATGCCATCCCCAATTTGGAGCCCTTGATGCTTCGTTTCATTGACCCAACATGCAAATTGACTGTGAAACAAACAAGCAAAGAGGCATCCCGACAGCAAATAGACATAGCAAAAGTTTTACATTCGTATAAAAACGAAATCAGAAGTCCCACATAAACACCCACCCACACACACACACTGAAATCAATGAGCCCCGCACAATTTATGGCTCAACATATCCTATATGCCATCTGGCTGTTCTTTTTGCCGGTTTTCGCTATAAATTATTCCCCTCACATGGGCAGATACACACCACCACCTACGCCCTCATCCTCCAAACATAAAATATTACACATGAGTGGCTTTTATGCAAAGAAGCTGGGCGAGAAATGTGGCCGTGGAAGACGCCTACCCCGACACTTTAAACTTGGCTAAGCAACAAGTTGGGCCTCCATTTCGTATAGAGCGTAGAATGAGAAGAATTATTGCGTTGCGGTGGCGGGAAACTTAAAGAGCCCGGCGGAAATTGTTGCCGCCTTTTAGGCCGTCAACCAGGGAATGATTTATGTGCCAAATGCAACAGCAGGATGAGGGCTCGGTTCATCCCAGCAGGGAGTACAAATCTCTGGCCGCCTTTTTATGCGAGGTCATGGGGTTCACTCGTTCATTAACAATTCATTAAATGCCACCAGAAAAATTAAACGCAAAAGCTAAACAGGGCAAATGTGTTCTTAGCTGACAGGATGCCGAATTTCGTTTACATGTGTGGAATATACACATATATACAGGAAATCCCTGAAAAGGTATTATCAAGAGAAGGTTAAAAAATATTGAGAATATTGTGATGTACTAAATGGAAAAATGTTTGTTCAACTTTTTTTTACAAAATATATTGATTTAAATATTAAAATTTAAAACAAGGGGAAACGCTACAGACGAGTGCCGCGACTATAAGATACCCGTTACTGTTTTACACAATTTTAAAATATTCATTTTGCTAGTGCAAATCCACAAAGCGCCACCTATTGCCAGATAAAGCATGTTGAGTAAGTGACAGTGACGCCCATTTCTTCATAAATAGCGATATAATGTTCCCATTTGAAACACCTTTGGTAAATCGATAGATATTAACAAAAATATGTTATATAAGGTGAAACGAAGACATACACTATAATATTATGGACGCCACAGTGCGGTTTGTGGGCGTAAGAGTGGGTGTGGCTGGATATTGGTACCACCATAAGATGCTCTGGCATGTAGGGATTATGCATATAAAATTTCAACATAGTTCCTGATATTTCAAAGATTTTAGTTTTTCTTGATTTGTGGGCGTGGCAGGATGTTGCGCTGCGTATGGATCTTTGTATCTCTTATAGTTCCAGAGTTCTCAGCGTTCATACGGATGGACCAACGAACGGACGGAACGACGATACCCTTTTATACCCTTTTAATCTACGCCTAACGGGTATAAAAAACTTGGAAACAAAATATGTAAAATTACAACAGAAAAGTGGGATTTATATAAATATCTCACCCAACTAATATTTATTTATTATGTCACCAGCCCAACTTTCCAAATTGCGAAACGTTGGCAATTCTAGCCATGGAAGTCGATTATTCGATATCGCATATCGACCACAAATCGGCTGCCCACTGCACGTTTCCATGATTTCAACTCTGCATTGAATTTGCATTTTTTTTTTTTACAAAGACGTTTTTAATTGAATTGATTTTTGTAGGCTTATTGGTTGTTTGTTATTGCAAGTATTATCGAAATATTCGCAAAGTTCGAGGCTAAGGCTCACGGCAGGCGGCAGAGGCAGTTCAAGCGGCTCGCCAACGTGAAGCATCTCGAACCGCTGCCGAAGCACGATCTGTGCGAAACTGCCCTAGGATAACGTAACGGTATCGCACAGATTACATAACACCTTCTCCTTACCATCGATGTACCCCACTACCAGAGCTGTAAGCTCCCAATGGATCCAGGAGCCAGCTGCCATGGAACTGCCATGGATCCGTCAACGAACTGCCCAGAGACAATATATCATCTAGATGCGAGCTGCTCTGGGAAACCCATTTGTCGATCTACCAAATAACGAGGACAACCCATTTATCTTCTTCTTATCCACCAGATAGTTGCGCCGAGAAACCCACGGATCTGAATGCCCAGGGACAGCCAAGGGTGCAGCAGCCAGTTGTCCAGGGGCAGCGATGAATTCAGCAACCAGCTGCCCAGGGACAACCGGTGATCCAGCAGCCAGGCCATGGCCATGGACAGCGATGGATTCAGCAGTCAGTTGCCCAGAGACAGATTCAGCAGCCAGCTGCCCAGAGACAACCAGGGATCCAGCAGCCATGTGTCCAGGGCAGCAATGGATTCAGCAGCCAGATTCCTAGGGACAACCAGGGATCCAGCAGCTAGGTGTCGTGGGACAGCGTTGGATTCATCAGCTAGATGCTCAGGGAAAACCAGAGATCCATCTGCTTGATGCCCAGGGAATGCGATGGATCCAAAAGCCAGTAGCCAAGGCACAGCAATGGATCCAGCAGCTAGGTGCTCAGATACACCATTCCATTCCAGGTTTAGACGCTACTATTTCCGCAACAAGTTCTGGTAACAACTTCACTGGTTCTAACATCTACAGTTGGTTCCTTTTAGAATTCATTTATATTTTGTTGTAAGAAAAAAAAACCTTTAAAAAATATTCAATAAATATCGAGTGTTCAAAATATGATCAACATTTTCCTACCCAAAGACCACAATTGAATTTGTAAAATGTAATATGGGCAATTATGTTTATGACTATTTAATGACCCTCGGTGTTTGTTTAACAAAAGGCAAACTCATGTGGGGGGGGAAATGCAATCAATAAATAATTTCCGCAACAAGTTCTGATGACAATTTCATTGGCTCTGACAGCTACGGTTGGGGTTTATTTTCCATGTAATACGCATTTAAATTATGTTAATTATTCATGGGCACGTAATTAGCTGTGAGAAAAGCGCAAAAACAGAACAGAACCCTAACTGCGCGATTTTGAAGAGCCCTCAAAGAGTACTTCCGTACATTTCAACGGACTGGCAAATTAACACCTCAAAATATATATTTAGAGCTAGGAAAAGAGAGAGAAAACTTTATAAAAATAAAAGAAAAAACTGTTAGGCTGAAAGGTCAAGCCGTCGAACGAGGGCCAAAAGCTGGGCCACTTGACATTGTCCAAAGCAAAACTGAAGCAAGGCGAAGCCCCTAAGAAGAGCACTCCACACTCAAGTGCCACCATTTGTTGCTGCCTCTTTTCAGTTTTGTTTCTCCTAATTATTTATGGCCGAGCTCGTTTTTGGCTATAAATTGAGCAGCTGGCCGTTGGCAAATCATCAATCAGCTCAGGCAACTTTCAATTGCAAGACGCAAATCGTAAACCCAAAAAGCAAACTTGAAAAATGGTGAGTCGTCTAGGATTTGGTTTCGTTTTTGCAAAGGATTAAGAAAAATACAATTATAAAAAAAGTTAATTGAGATAAAATATGGACTTGGAAATACACAAAACATTTCTATCGGCAATTTTTCCAAATGAAATTTAATAAAAATAACACGAAAATTATATCATTATAAGCCACAGCACAGGACTTTAGTACTTACCCTCATATTTATCCTTTCTAGAAAATCTTCTCGCTCGGTGGTGTCCTTACCCTGTCGGCCGTGGCCAGTGTGGCTTTGGGTGCTCCTCAATTCGAGTCCCGCCTGCGCCGGGATGTCTCGGAACTAGTGGAACCGGCTAATGTGGAGTATCTGCCGCCCTCGGTCACCGAGGCTGCTCTCCTGAATGCTGAGCCCGTGGAGGCTGAGGTTCAAGCCGATCCTTCTGCCGTGGAAGCCGATCCTTCTGCCGTGGAAGCCGATCCCGAGGGAACTGTCCTGGGTGATGAGGGCTACGAGTACCGCACTGTGCGCCGTCTGAAGCTGCGCCACCGCAACCGCCGGGATGTGTCCCACTTGCAGCCAGCTAGGCAGTATCTGCCACCCAGCAAGGCCTACTTGCCGCCAGCCCAGGAGGTTCAAGCTGCTCCGGAAGCCCCAGCTGCCGCTCCACCTACCGATGACACCGAGGAGGTGGTGTCCGCCGCCGAGCCAAAGGTGAACAGGGAGTACCTCCCTCCCACTGAAGCTGCTCCTGCTGCTGAGGAAACCACCGAGGCAGCTGCTCCCGAGGAGCCAGCCGATGTCCGTGTGGTGGATGTGCCCACAGTCTCCGGGCAACTGCTGCAGGATGGTTATCACTACCAGCAGCCGGCAGAGATGCCCGCCGAGCTGAAGGAAGCCGCTCCGGAGTATCTGCCCCCAGTTGGCGGCGAGGAGATCATAGTAGAGGGTCCAGCTGGAGGCGAGAGCGCTGTCCTGGCTAGCGATGGCTACCAGTACCGCGCCATCAGGCGTTACAGATTTTAAATTTCTCAATTTGCCAGCGATTTGCTAACCTTTTTTAACACCTTTTAATTGTTGTTGTTTTTTAATTGGTCTAAATAAAATGATTTTTTGAGCAGTAAATTAAACTGAGTTTAATTTATGGTATTATACGCGTGTTTATCATTTATAAGAACACTTAAACTTAATGCACTTAACAAATACTATTTACAATTTTTTTTTCACTTTTTTAAATACTGAAAAGGGGCACTGCCTATGTACAATATTTGAAAATCACATAGAAGGGCGGTAAATTTCTGGTATATTTTTTGCAAAATGTATATACTAAATTTATATACCACATTTAATTTACATAAATGTAACATATCTTAAGCAATTTTAAGCCATTGAAGCGCACCACTAACTGGAAGTTATATCATATTCTACTCTTTGGGCAACATGTGATCCGGGCGAATCTTTGCTGACCACGGCAGAGTCTTCTGTTATTAATTGTTTAAATGATCTAAATCAGGCGTGCTCGCTTGTTTACTATCACAAATACAAGTAAACGTGGACATACATATGTACATATTAAGTGACGCTTTTGTGTTAGTTTACAGCTATGCAAAAGTACGGGGCAGTTTAAGGAAAAAAGCAAAAACAAAATAATATTGCAGTTGGTAACAGAGTAAGGTGGAAAGAGGAAAACGAAAAGTTGTTAGTGGAATAGCGCCGCGAGCGCTCGAAGCTTGTGGGCCCATAGCAGCGAGCATTTATAAAAACAAATGAGCACCGAAGCATAGGTTTTGAACAACTCAGATATATGTACACATGTATGTATGTATGTATGCATGTAAGTACATATGTATGTCTAAATGTAAGTACATACATATTTATATTCACTAAAAACAATTTCGTTTTCTTATAAAATAACATTTTTTAAAAGCTAAAAATAAAAGTGAGATACGAAAAAAGTTAAAACCTTCCTATGACTTTCCTCATTCCTGATTCTTCGCCATAGTAAAAAGTTGAAAATGATGAAAACGATGTTTCAGTTAATTAATTTATTATGCATGCATATTAAGTACCCAATGATGCAGCAAAATAATGCGATTTAAAAGGGCAAACAAAGCAGGGAGAATGGAAGAGGAAGCTTTGCATTTCACTGCAATTTATTTTCACTTTTTCCATAAGAAGCTAAACTATTTTTTATGCAAATTTCAATCAATAATAAAGATTAATACATTTAGCAAACACCAGCTTAAACTGAATTAAACCACACTTAGACTTTTGCATTGAAGAAATCCTGGAGATTTACTTGATTAAGGAATTTCTAGAACCGTTAGTTGCAAAGTCTTATTTATTTATATAATTAAAGTCAACAAGCATATTGACTACCTGTCCCAAAGCAAACATAACATTACGTACACGGCCCGTGTGGCTTTGAGTTGGCTTAACATGGTACACTTCAGCCTTGTTTAGTGTCAATAAAAGGGCTTTTATATGGGAGTCGGCAATTAGCTGAATTTATGTGCCCAATGCCTCTTGGCAGCTGTGCTCCCCTTTGAAGCCCTTCGATATGAAAATCATTGCAGGATTTTATATTCATGTTCGTCGTGCCGCATCCTGTCACACGCCCACTGGGTTGTCATGGACGCCTTTGGATCTTAATTAATGCACTTGCGCGTTAACTCAACTCAATGAAAGTGGGCGAGAAGGAATGGGTATGCCGGAAAATCTTCCACAAGAGGAGCACAGCATTAAGTGCTCACTCAAGTTAAATTACTTTGACTGGCGATAGCGGCGGCAGCAGGAAGGAAAAGCGCAGATAATGACCAGCTCGTCATTTTTACACACTCACTCTTCACTGGCCATCGCCATCGCCATCGCCATCACCATTTCCATTCGCCATTCTTCATTTTTCATTTTTCCTTTTAAATTATGAAATCAATTGTACGAAATTCAATTAAAATTGTTGCACTTTTCGCTGCAGAGACACTGGGAAAGGCGAGTCGAAGTCGAGGAAATCTCAATTACATTCCAACATCTGTCCAAATATGATAAGCCCGTACCAACATTATTTTCCGCATGTTTATTTTAGGTCCAAAAGGCCCCAGGGATTCGCAAACGAAGGGCTTGGACGGAGCTGCCTGTGACAGCCCGCTTATTGCATATTATATTGAGAGGACAGCGGCACAGAAATCAGGATTCAGGAGTCAGGAATCTGCCAACAGGAGCAACAAGCCAAGCAACAAGCGGCTACAATCGTTTTGAGTGCCCGCCCGGAAGGAAGGACATTTGTGTTTGTGAGAAGGAATAACAAAACCATCAAGTAGGGACAGCCAAGACATGTGGAGTGGGCTATGTGTGTATTCGAGTTTTTGGGTTAAAGTGACGCCAGTGATGGGAAATCCTGCTTAACAAAATGGCAAACATATTTCGGAAAACGATTTGCTACAAATTCCATGGAGTTGGCAGTTTTTTATAGAAATCGATGGGGCCATCATCATCACACACTGAGATCAAATTGTTATACCTTCGATCAAGTAATCTTAGAAATACACAGGTAAATAATCTAAGTAATACACATAATAATAAGCTACTGCTTAGCTTCTCTTTTTATAAGAAAGGTACTACATTTTGTAGTTTAAAAACAATGAATTGGTTAAGTGGTAACTCTAACTAAGCTCTAAAGCTAAGTTTAAGATTCAAAATTCACTTCCTCTCAAGGATCTAGCAAGCTTATATTGAATTTTATTTTGGGGAAATGCTAGAAAAATTAGTTTTTTTAAGAAAATATATTGTGCTGGTCTTTAAACTTTTATCAACTTTTGAATCCAACTTTTATTACTCTTTAAAGTCCGTTCATGCAAGTTCACTACCATAAAACTTACAAAATACAACATTTAATTATTATAAACTTAAGCAATGGATGATTTTACTACATTTTTATTTCCAGAAAATAGAGAAGCCATCACTATTATTAAGTAACATCAAGAAGATATATCCAGCTGGGCTAAGGTGGGTATTACTTTTATCGTTGCCTTTGAAAGTTTTTCAACTCTGGTTGAAATTCCACACCTTAACCTGGGACAAATCAAATTGGCCTTCGGCAAGTCAATTTCGTTGGCAGAAAGCCGGCACTGTAAGTGACAGTCTCGCCCTGTGAAATGTTATTAAAAATTATTATGCATATTTATAAATTTAATTTGTGCATTACAGCGCTTTCTGACAGATAACACGGAGTATGTGCGGCAGGCAAGGGCAGGAATCACTGCAGGCCATTCGAGTTGAGCTCGTAAATGGCAGAGAAAAAATTCATACCACTACAGGCTGCGTATGCAGGATATTCCATTTTTGATGTCCTTCACTTCCTTTCCCTTTTCCCTCTCCCTATATTTTGCTCTCTCTCCCTGCGGTGCACATTTCATACACGCTTTGTCTTTCAAGCGGCGAGTATAAAAAACAAAGGATGCCAGGATACGAGATACTTTCACACAGACGGTCGCCTGTCAAGTGCCGCGTTTAACGGTCGTCGAGGTGGCATCCTTAACCAAAGGATGTGACGTTTCGCCGGAGGTTTCCCAGTGATGCACAGCGGTGGGATGTTCGGTTTTTGGGGGTACCACACTCGTCCTTAATCAATGTCTTCAGCTAATTGAGTGCTAAAAATAAAATTAAAATGAAATGTCTTCTTTTGTCAACTTTGCGTAGGCCTCTAAATTTATGAACACAATTTGTTAGCCTTTTAATATTAATTGTGGATAATTTAGGGAAGGCAGGTAGACAAGCACGGAACGGTTTTGTGCTTAAGTTAAATGATAAAACATAATTAAATATGCAAATAATTTAAATATTCTTATAAAAACGAAGTTTTACTTACCAAGAATGTTAAATTGTGTTCCAGCCTTTTTTGTTTAGAATTTTAGTATTTAAAAAAGAAGTGCGCTAAATCTCTCTTATTATTTATATACTAAATTTAAATACTATATATAATTTTAATTTCTATTTTAAACCCTTCGCTAAATTTGCAACATTTTAGAGCCACTCAAGCGCAAACTAACTGGAGCTTATCTCATTTTCTACTCTTTGAGCAACATTTGATCCGGGTTAATCTTTGCTGTCCACGGCAGGGTCTCAACTATTCCTAGACGGACCCGAACCCAAACTTCCATCAGGAACTCGTTAATGGCCACTCATTTGTGTGTCAGTGAGCTATGAATAAGCAATTCCCAGCTTCGGTCCATCTGTCCGCAGCTGGAGATGAAAGTTTTGTGGCCTCTGGTCAGATTCCGACCAGCAGCAACAGGCAACTCGAACCAAAGGGTTTTCACTCTTCTACGTATGTCTATGTGTGTGTTACCCGAGAAGCAGGATATCCAAGCCAGGGAGCTTTGAAGTGCGGCAGGTAATTGGTTAATTATTAGGCCTTGTTTGCTACTCCAGCTCCCAAGCCCCTGGGGCCACGCTGCACAGCAGGAAGGCACTGAAATGCCAGGATAAAATTTAATGGGTAGCCGTCCGGTCGGATTACACAATTGGTCAACTAGCAGTTATGGACACCACACATTTTCACATCACTAATAAGAGACTTTTCCACTTCGTTCACTTTATGGCCTGTAGGAAATGCTTCCGTCAGTATGGCTTTACACTATCTTTTCTTGCGAGTGTTTACTATTTTGTACGTTGATTAACATTTTCTTAGGTATTTATTTATATATTTTTTAGATCATAGAATTTACATTTCTATGCTATTTATTTCTATTAAATCTTTGTAAGCATATTATAACCTAAGTAAAACTGTAAGGATATTCAAAGTCCTCCTCGATACTCTTCAGCAACATGATTATTGCTGCATTTGCAAGTCGAGCTCAGCTGTGGGGACAATGCCAAAAATGAGAACGAAGCCAACATTGCTGGTAATCATTTTTCACTGCAACTTTTCATTTTCATTTTCCACAAGCACACACACACACACGCAGAGAAAAGCCACACACACACACCTGACTATATGCCTTGCTCTTGACTTTTTCGTTAGAAAATTAATAGCCTGACCAAAGAAATTCTTGTAATTTTTGTTCGGTTTTTATACTGCTGAGAGAGTGTCCATTTTGGGTCGCTATCAAAGACATTTTCTTCTGTGTTTGCTTAACTTTTTTGTAGTTTATGTTTGCCTTGGCCATTTTAATTAAGTCAAAGTGTTTGCTTTACACACAAAAACTCTTCATAATAAAGAAAAACATATAACGCACGGGCAAAAAATAAAAACATTCCTGAGTAAATATTTTTGTTTGTGAAATATTTCTGGCTTATGCACTCAGCTCGATGCAATCTGGATTTTTGCTGCCGTTTAATCTCCATCTCTCAATTGTCAGATCGATTTATTATTATTTAATAATTATGCCGAACGAATGAATACTTAATGAGTGGGAAAATTAATCAGGCTTCACAAGTTCACTTGCTTTATTATATTTTAAAATATAGTTATTTTCTGTTTTTCTCTGTTAAGCCAAGAGGAATATCAAGGAAACCTTCAGCTTAATTTATTGATGAACTTGCCTTTAAAGTAATGAAAATTAGTAATTTAGACAAATCCCTAGTATCTTCCTATTGGATAGATTCAAACAGCGAACCTAAAATATCATCGAAGAGGGAGGAAGAAGGGAAAGTGGCATAAAAACACGTACGCCGAAGCTCTCAGTCAGGTGAACTACAAGGACACTCAACTAGCTGGGGCAGACGGTGGGCGAGGTTTTTCGGCAGGACCTCAAAGGTGGGTGGGGTAAAAAGCCGTCAGTTGGGCGGGCCATGACAACGCCCAAAGGACCAAAAAGACGGCCGGTCTAAGGCTTGCGAGCGAGCGAAATAAAAAACGCATATTGCGTGAATTTCGATGTCAAAGGCGAAGGCAGGTCACAAAGTCGGCTTTTGGATTCGGATTCGCAGGCAGCCAGGACCAAAATCGTTGGGCCAGGAGATCCTGAGAGTCAGGTGCGTGTGCGGCACTTATGAGTGGCACTTAGTCTGGCCTAATACCCATCATTAGAGCATTTAACAGGAAACACGTGACGCTGCATAGCAGCCAACCTGCCCCTTCCATTACATTTCACCTCATCTGACTCCGAAAAAAGGTGAAACAGTGGCAGCGGTTGGAAAAGGGCATGGGTGTGGCCCTTTAAACAGGGGCCTACGGATTTCACACCCGAAAAGGATTTGTCAAAGCTGGCTTTTCAAGTTAGGGGGGATTCTCCTTCAGGCCTGAAACAGTGGTCGTAGATGCCGCACAGATTCCGTTCAGGAAATGTAATTAATTTCAAATTTCTTAGTTGTTTTAATCCAGGGATAAGATAACTTTTTGCAGGATTATTAATTAATCTGATGTGTTATTTTTATTTCACTAATTTTAAACCTATGTATTTCATTCTTGGGCTACTAGCCTTAGGGAAGTCCTTTTAAGAAGCATTTATTTTAACCCATATATAGGAAAATACTTTGCTTAACAGTTTTTAAGTTTTTGATCAAACTGGACATGAATATAGAACTTTATATTCAGTAGCTTAAATACTTTATTTATAACTTTTTTATAAAACAGAGGTTAAATCAGAGGGGTAGAAGGAAACTGACTTGATACGTAAACATTTCTTTTATTAAAAGTTCTTAGAGACCAATATCTGAAGTTCATGTACAATAGGCCTACCGGAGAGCTGATTTTCGAGATCAAAATTGAAAATTAAACACAAATTCGTACATCAACATGAAGGTTGTGCAGTAGGAAATATCATGGGGAAACTTTTAATAAATGCAAAGAACAATATTGAGTCAAACTAGCTGACTTACCCTACACAGGAAATAACGCTTATTATAGAAGATAACTTCAGATTAATCGACAAATATGGAAATTTAAATAGGAACCAAAACAGCGCACAAACAGATGGCGCCAGTAAAAGTATACGGTAACATCTGTTGTTAACATACATAGTTACTTAGACATTAGTTAACAGAGTAACTGCTACATTACAGTCGCGGCACCAAACATTAGTCTATCTTACACTTCACAAGCTGCTAAAGCTGTACTATAGGTAACAGCAAATTTTTTTGTTTTAAATAAAAAAATCTGAAGTTTTGAAGTTCTTATTAAAAGGAATAAATGTTTCTTCGTATTTTTAAATGTAAATAAACCCACTAGATTTCTTTATTGTAACCTATTTTTCAGACATTTTAAATTCAAGCAGTTAATATAGCGCCACCTGGCGCTTGCTTGCTTGCATTAAGAATTTTACATATATTCTACACACTGCTTGCTTAACATGCAGAAATTTTCTTGGCGCCATTAAGTAAAAATTCAAACCGAAATCATATTTTAAATACTCATTTTATTTAGTTAATATAAAGCTATTTCTGACTGCAGCGCTGTGAACGTTCGTTAAGCTTCTAGAAAAATCGTTAAAATGAATATTCAGTGTCCGGGAGTGTGTTTGTTTTGGGTGTTTCTTTTCGACTGTGGGAAGTTTTGTGCTTTTTTTGCTGGATTAAAAGTAGAAAATCTTAATCGAAAAATACTTGACTGACATCCGCCTCGGCAAGGCGATCCTACATTTTGGTACGAACTTTGTACATTACAAATTAAGAACTATTTTAATCGAAAGATAGTTAGTGCATTAAGTAGACGAGGATGGCGGCGAGCGCGGTGGCCAGAAGTCCAGGTACTCCGGCTCCCAGCGACGGTGCACCGCCTGCCCGGCAGTAGTATTCGCCGCACTCCGCGTCCGCAATTTCCCTGTACTTCTCGAGGACATCGGACCACTTGCACAGTCCTACGCTGCACCAGTCCAGTTGAACGGCCTGCTGGTTCAGGAAGAAGACAACCTTCTCGCGATCCAACTGCGTCGGACAATCGTACTTCACAGCCACGAAATTGGAGGCGAACGGATCGATCAGGCTGGCCTTCCAACGCCTGCTGGTCATACTATCGTAGTTATCTGCTCTCAGTTTGATGTCGTCCTTTTGAATCCCCAGGGCAGTGAGCAGTGTCAAAAGGCCAGTGGAGTGGCCAAAGTGAGCCACCACATGGGGCGACACCGGGTTGTTCAAGTGGATCAGTAGATCCTGTACCAGTCGGCAGTTGAGGTTTGCGTTTTCGGGAAATCCATAGCCCGATCCATAGTAGTACTTCAGATCCTCCAGATACTCGAAGACAGTTATTTGTTCCGGCAGGAAGGCTCCGCACCACACACTGTTCCGGTCCACCTGTAGATTTTTTCCAGAAAATTTACATTTTTACAACATTAAACCAGAATCCCTTCTATAAACTACTTACGTTCCATGCCTGCTCATAACGACACATATCGTACATAAGCTTGATGTCCTCCTCCTCCACGGTATAAAGGAAACTGTGGGGAAATAACGGATTAAACAAATCCATTAAGAATCTTGGTATTACCCTTAACTTACCCCAACCGAGTGGAGATGTCCACCAAGGTGTCGTTATAAAGCTTAGACTGATGGAACTTCTGGTATTCAGAGCCCTCGCCCTTGTAGTTTACATTCTTAAAGGACGAGCAATAGTCATAGGGACGGAGCAGCAGATCCTGCTGGGGAATCTCGACGGGATGGGCGGAGTTCTGCGATCCGAAAAGACCCTCGGCGAAGGCTTTGAAACTTTCCGTGGTGCGCTGGGTGTCCGTGTGACGGAACTGGTTAGAGTATAGGAAAAATATCAACATATATCCTGTCTTTCTTTAAGCCTTCGTTATCAAACCCTACCTGGTAATAAGTATCGTTGTAAGTTGGGGTCAGGACACTGGGATAGTACCGCTGATACAGCTTGGCTGTTCCCCTGAGATCCTCGTAACCCTGGGCAGTCAGGTACTCTTCCATGTCGGGCGTTATGCTGCTGTTCCACTTCCACATCTTAATGGCGAGTAAGTCCGTCTGGCACAGGGCATCCGTTTCCGGCTTTGTCTTGGCCACTTGATAGTTACTTACGATGAGATCGCGTAGCTGAAAATAAAATGTAAATATTAATGTAATTTTATTGAATCTCACTAATGAATATATTCCTCCAACAAGCTGTAATAAATTTACTTCTACCCTTACTGAATACAAATGATATATTTGTTAATAATAAATAATGTCGCTATGCTGAACAGCTTTGGCTCATATTTGTTTGTAATAAAACGCTTCCTAAATGAGCCGCTTGTCTATGAATTAATGGCTGTTTTGTAATGAAAATAGTCGTTAAATATTCGAATTCGTTTGGAAGAATTTATAGATTTTACACTCCTTAAAGTTAAATAAACAGAGAATTTCACATTAAAAATATTTCAAAGTAATGTTATTGGTTCAAAGTTTAGTTAAATTTTAAATGTTTTGTCACAAAAGGCTAAAATATCTTATTTAAGATTTGAGTTAGTTTGTTTCCAAACTTTAAAATAAAAAAATCGAACTTATAATTCATATCTTAAAATCAAACTCACCTCGGCCACCCTGGACGCCTTGTTGATCATGCTCTTCTTGGGCAACCTCGTGCCGTGCCTGTGGAAGATCCACATCTTCTGGGGCTGACAATCCGGCACCAGGTACTGCTTGTCAATGTCCGTGCCCTTGACGATCTGATAGGCGGTCTTCGAGGAGAATTGGCGGGTCTGGAGGCGGGAGTTGTCCTTGCTGAAGCAGTAGTCATCGCCTTGGGCGATGGCCACCAGTGGCAGCAGCATGAAAATCAGCAGGCGCATAGCTCTGGGGAAATTCAGATGGAAAATTTCGAGATAGTCAGTCAGCTGGGAGGCGGTCAAAAAGGGTTGTTCGAACATTTAACTGGCCCAGCCTTTCGGTTGGGCGCATATCCTTGAACTGTCGTCCTGTCCAACTGGCAGTGGCTGCCCTAATGGACACGACGAGTGTCATACGTGGAAGCCACCTGGAAGCCACCCACCTCAGACAGCGGAAAGGTGTGGCATTTAAATTGCTTCGCTGGCGTCTGGCAAGGAGCTTGGCAAGACAATATGGGAGGGGCCCCACAGAATCGAATCGAATGGAAATCCAGTCGGAGTTCGGAGGAAATGCCAGCACACACGCACCCACACTCGGAAAAATCTTAACCCTTTTGGGTTAGATTGTCATAATATAATTTTAATACCACGAAAAGATGATTTTGAAGATGCATTTCGAAATGACTAAACTAGAATTTAGATCTAATATTTAGTTATTTATAAATTGATTTTTCTAAAAATATGTTCCTTTTTTCTCAGTGCACTAAGACGAAGCTAAAAACTAACCTAACTCTGGCCCTGAAAATTAGGCTAATGATTTTCGGTTGGCCCCGCTGACAAATTGCTGCAGTTCTAGTTCTCCACGTGGCTTTTAGTCATCAGCCCCAAGTCCATCAAGCCACCTCCAACCCTTGTCTTCACCTTCACACTCCTTCCTCAATTAGGTCAGGCCAACAAGTTGGGATTGCTCATAGATTGCTCATAAAAGATTGTAATGTTTCAATTTAATGCCCGCATCCGACATTGATTAATCAATCGCCCTTTCCTATCTAAGGAAATTTCGATGGCTATACAATGGCTCATTAGAAGCTTGTAACATGAGCTGTTAGTAATAATCTGATTTCTGAGTGACAAGCTGGCCGGACAAATTACTTCCAAAATTCAATTTCAAAGAAAGTAACATTTAGAATATAAAAATCAAAATGAGTTTGAAAAAGAAAGTATGCGGTCTATGGTGCAAACACAAGCCTACGGATAACCAAAAGGCATTGGCTAAAGCTTTGTGAGTTTCAAGTTACAGTTACCCTCTAAAGGATGTAATTAAGCCACAGATGCGTTGTAGAGTGGCCAGATCTAATTAAAATTCACCATATCTGTTTCTAATTATACACTATAACGCCCTCTACTGTCCACAGTATGCCATCAGCGGCCACCTTTGGACTGGCTGCCGCCTTGGCTGTTGTTTATTATACCGATTGGAAAGTAATTGCCGGATGGATACCCCTCTACAATACCAAATTTCCCAAACCCGAAGACCCCAAAAAGAAAACGAAATAAGATATAAGTGCAGCACAGGCTGCATTACATATTCTTGGTCTTTGTGGTTGATCCAAATGAAACTTTTGAAGATCGTGCCTTCGGTGGAAATCTATACAAATAAATGTTTTTACTGCTATTCAATATTTTCTATGTTTAGTATTTTTCCTGACTTTTGCGGTTTAATGTTGCTTATATTTCGGAAATGCATTTGGTGGAACACGCTTCCAAACAAAATAAATGCCTGTCAAAACACACAAGTCGAAAGAACAACAAATAAATTGTTGCCACAGCCGCCAGAAATAGATGAACCGAAAATCCCCCAAAAAGCTCCTTAATCCAAAAAAAATCTACGTACATCTTAGAAACATATTTGGGGGTTTTCTGTTTACAGTTTCGCCCTCATCGGTCGCTGGTGAATGCAGTTGGGCAACCTGTTGCACGGATGGCATGGAAAATAAATAAATATTTTCGATTTGGGATACTGGATACTGGAACACAGGGAGAAAAATGTGTTGAAATATGATTTTAAAATTTATAATAAAGTTATATTGATTTTAAAATGAATTAAATCAAAAATATACAGCTTACTTTACATTCTATCAGTAGATTTAAAATAATTTAAGGAAATATTAATAAATTATGGAACTATTTTTTACTTAACTTTAACTTAACTTGAATTTTCTATCCTCCGCTTTTCAACACCCCAAATAATGCTCTAATTATTAGAAATTCTAGAGACTCATAAAAATTCCACATACCTTAAAATATTTCCCAGAATATGAAAGTACACCCTACTAATACCATTATTAATTTTTCTTTCTGTGCATCTGTGACGTCAGTGCCATAGCATTGACAGCTGCAATTAGCTTGTGAAATTTCCAATTACACATCCCATGTGCGGAAGGCCAAAAAGCGATCTGACACACGCATCTAATTTTGCTGCCTCCACTGCCATCTTTGCATTTTCAAGTGCAAATAATTGCCTCAGATCTCACAGAGATCGGTTCGGTTGCACTTTTCTAGAGCTCCAGAGACTCTCGATATTATATGTTACGATCCGATCTGGGATCTGTGGACCCCCTCCTTAGGCACTCCCCTAATCAATTGAATGCCCCTCCTTTGTTTTGCATTCTCGGGCCCATTCTCCCAGCCATCGGCATTTTTCTAGTTTTGTGTTTTCTCAATGCGAAATTAAAATTCCAATTTGGCTGCCATCTCGTGTTTATTTAGCTGGCTTTTATGAACTGGGGAGGAAAATTGCTCTAGCTTTTAACCCACTCCACCCTCGCGTCATTTGTAAAACAGATTCGCCAACTTGGAAAACTAATTTAATCTGTGAATAATATTTATTTCGTATCATATTTGCTTGAATTTCAAATAAAAGAGCGTTCGTGACATTTGGCTAATTTGCCTGATTGTTTGGCTATATGCAACGCCTCTTTTAGTGCACAAAAAAAAAACAAAATGATTATTTTTAGTTTTATATTTTAACACACGGAATAAATTGCTTCGGTTTCCTGTCGATTAAATTCAAAACATGCAAAATAAACAGAAATTTTGTTTAGATTTTCAAGACCTTTTTTGGGATATATTTTCAAAATCATTATAAGTTAAGGTATAAAGTATTCTTCCCTAATAATTTTAAACAAAAATTTAAATGATCTTCAAAAACATTTATCAAAATTTGTTTCGGTGTACCCTTTTTTCCTTTCAATAAATTCTTAGTTTTTATATTTCTAAGAGATCTGCCCTCGTGCCGGTTTCATTTGCGGGTTTCGGTTTTTTTAGAGCATAGCATAAATCAAAACCAGAAATTTATTTTCAGTTGCTGTTTTTCCCGCTGTTTCCACTTTGCCTAATTTATAGATATGTTTTTCTTTTTTGGGCAGTCAAACAACAAAAGTCATTGCCACTGAACCACAAAGACCAATTCATCATTTCCACCAATTGATTGTTGAAGCCCACAAAACTGATCGAACGAAGATCGTTGAACTTTTACCGGGTGGAAATTAAATAATTTCGATTACGAAACAATTCGAAAATGTAGAACAGAGTGAGTGGCGCAGAAACTTGCATCAATTGCTGGCCAAGTTAATTGACTGCACACGCAAACAGCTGGCCAGAGATTTTTCGAGCGTTTTGTTAGCGATTTTCACAGCTTCCCGCGAATATGGCTGTTGAAAGTACATAAAGTATTTAAAAAAAAAAAGAGAATTCTAAAAATCAAAGTTCCGCAACTACTGTGCATATTAATTAGCATATGTGTGGAAATGAGTGGCGGGAGGAGAGCGAATGCCAGGTCGACCAATTATCATAATGATGCTCAAGCGCAATTCACTTAAGATCCCCGACACGTCCCCGGATAATGGCGCATATATATCATGCACACCATATAAACCGAGATATTACACAGTCGTTTGGATATATAGTCGTACATATATATGTATTTATGGCGAGTCTTGGGCGTTCCGGTCGCCCATGTCCATGTTCCGAGCTCAACATAAAACATTGGGACATAGGCCAGATAAGGGCAAGAGAAAGACAAGGCCGCCATCTAGTTAATATGCAGACATCGAATTCCTCCGGGAAACCGGCGTTTGGATCCCCGGATAATTCAACTAGGCCTGCCTTGGAGAATCTTTAATTAAAAGCGATACCCGAAAATTGCCTGGGAACATTAAGTATTTAATTTATCACCACTGAGCCCCCCACCCCGACCCAAAGGCGACCTTCTCCATTACAAGTCGAATAGATGATGGGATCTTGTCTGGTCTGTGTTGTGTTTTGTTTTTGTTGTTTTGTTGGAAAATATATTTTAAAATATGCCGCCTGCTTGACCTCAGCGTGACAAGTGAGAACCGCGGTGGGGGGATAGAAGACGTCTTGGAATTTTGAAAGAGTTCCCAAAAGTATTTTTGGGATAGTTCTTTGGCAGGCCGAAACGAATAGCTGACGTAGCTCGAAAATAGAATTTCTTCATTTCTAATGATATAATAAGTAATGCCCATTAAAAATCGAAAAAAGAACTATTTTCGTCCACAAACAAGGAAGCCAAAGGAATCGAATGGAAAGTGTTTCGGTTAAGGTTAAGTGAGCAACGGCGAATGCCAAAATGCTTTTGGCAACGTGTCAAGAGTGAAACGCTTTTTGACAAATTCTGCAATTTATTTGAGGCGAGTGGGAAAATTCCCGAGAGCAAGTGATCGTGAGAAGCATTCTATCTCTGAGTGTAAATATTGCCAATAAAAACTACACTATGTAATACTTCTAAAAGTTACGTTGCAAGGCTTAGTAAACAAAACATCTGAAAATTATGCAACTTAGTTAAAGTGATTAAAAGGGAAACTTATTGCTTGGATTTTTCAAGAGCAAACAAAGAGCATAAAACTGAGATAGCCCGGAAATCGTTAAAGAATATAAACACATGCCTGAAATAAAATGTAAGGAATATATATGTATCTACCTCTGATTTTGTTAAGCCAATTTAAAATATCGTTCTTAGCTAAAAGTTTTTTTATAGCTTTTATAGATACAATTGATTTATGGCTATGATATGGCTGGGTAATATGTAGGATTATTTGAAATATTTTATTAGCCTACCAATTCTTTGATTGTCCAAAAAAGTTTTAATCTAACTTAAAACAAGGTAGAACATGGAACAACCACGGAAAACTCTTAGTAATTACCCCTTGAAAGGGCCATGAATTTACCTACAACTTGTGCAATTTGGGAAAATTATTTTCAAGGGAGGGCAGATGGAAAACGAGCCCTATGGAAACCAGAAAACGAATTTTCCAAGAGCAAGTGATCGCAACAGAGAGTGGGAGTAAGAAAAATGTAAAGAGAAAAAACAAGTTCGAGTCAATGTTCGTTGGTCCAAAAACCGGTTTCTCGGCCAAATGTTTGTTTTTTGCCTAGGTAGTTGGCCCACATAATGGGCCGAGACTCACCCACACCCCTCAGGTAGCAAATGACCAAGTATTTAAGCCGTCAACATATTCGGCCAGCAAAAACATAAGGGAATTCCGAATTATTTCCTAGGAGTCTCAACCCTAGATATTCGAGATTCGTATATATGAGTAAGAGGGTCCTAAAATAAATTAAATATTTAATGTGACCCCAAGGGTAGGTGGAAAGGGAAGCATGAGCTTAAGCATGGCGTGTCCAAGTGGGAGTCGCGTGCCCCGGGGGCGACTAATAAATCTGGTTATTCCCCAAAGGAGTTGGGACTGGCAACCAAAAGGACCAACGACAAGACACTTGTGTAAACTATTTGTTTACGTAATTTACTTATCTTTGTCCTCTTAGCCATTTTAATTGCACGAACTTAGATTAATCTCCGTGCTCCGGAGACTTAATTATTTTAAGCGCGTTTTTAAAACGCGTGCAAAACGCACTCGGCTCATTTGAATCACTCAGGTGATGCAAACGGCTGCCAGCTGCTAATTTGATTGCTCAGCCAACGAAACGCGATTTGGCCACGAATTCTGGCACAAAAAGATTTGATTTCAGCCTAGAACGTTGAACCTATCATAGGGTTAGCTACACTGAAAATAAATGAGTGTAAAGTGTTCTGTCGATCGACAAATTGTGACGAATAGTGTTGTTGGATACCTAATAAAAGAGATATTTAACATTTATAACTCATTTTAGTATAATGTTTTGTATGCTATAACTTTTTCTCAGTGTTTTTCAGTTCCCAGGCGAATAGAAAATAAAGTCACACGCTGCGTGGAAATGGAGACCGAAAAAATAAGAAAACAAGCAAAAGCAAATTCGTTCCCAAAACTGATTAATGTAGCCACCTCAAGTTTCCAGCCGTTTTCATTCATATGCAAAATGTCGAATGGTAACAATTTAATACTATATTATTTCGCTGAGCTCATCACGAAATCAACCAAAAACAAATTCAAAACTACGTTATTTGTTTAGCCATTTGTTATACAACAATTATAGATGACCGCCCAAACAGGTTCCCCAAGCAAATTCCATCTACAAAACCTATGACGACGGATAACGAAAATATTCACAAACCGCAGGTGCAACTTGGGAATAGCTGGGAATGATAGATACGAGTGCAGTGTCTAATGGTTCAATTAGTGCTATGTAGATAATTGCCACTGCCAAAATGATCGCGTGAATTTCTTTGCGCAATTTACATATGTGATTTTTTTCAAATGATGATACTTAATGCCTCATAAATTGTGCTGATGAATTATGCTTGAATTTAAATTTAGCATAATTTATTGACATACACACACACGCACCTATTTGGGTAATTTAAATGCACTGGATAAACAATTTAAGTTCGGCAGTTGTTCTTAACCGATTTAAGCGATTTTAAACGCCTACGAAAACGCGACCGCAGCGCTGAAAGTTCGAAATGGAACTGAAAATCGCGTCTAAACCGCCTTCACAAGTGGCCTCTCAATGCTCTTCTCTCGTTCTCTCTCTATATTGAATCTTACTCTCCCGCTCTCTCCCTCTTTCTCTCAGGAAACAATTAGGCGATGGCGATAAGAGATTACTATTTGTAAACATTTTGTATAGGTGAGAAGCCTCAGGTGAGATGAAGATAATAACTGAAGATAACACAAGTTAAATGATTTTTTCAAAATTTTGAAAGCTGTACTTCACAAATGGGAATGTCCAAATACACTTCACTCGCTTGCGTTATAAACTTTGAATAAATGTGTTTATTTTTTCAATTTACAGCTATAAAAAAATTAACATACTAGTTAAAGAGATACAATTATGTATGCTCTTAACAGCAAATAAATACATACAAAATACATATTAATTTTGATTATTTTTAGCGCATTTGCTTTGCTGTTGAAAAAACTTTAGTACGATTGCAAAATAGAGTACTTAAACCGTAGCTTCTTTATATTGGACAACAGCTGACCACCAAAGTCCAACTTCGTTGCAACAGACGTTCAAGTTTACTACCCTGGCGTCACTAATCACATTTGCCTGATAACAACAAAATCTACGAGGAACCAATGATCCTTAGTATAGATTTCGCTAGAAATATCATCGAACTTTTCCTTACAGGAGATAAGTTAATGGCCCAGAACTCTGACAATCTGTGTTTTATTTAAAGATTACTGGCCAAATATTGATAAGATGATGACATTCTCAAGTGTCGCCGATCCATTATTGGCATTTAAACGCCTTAGACGTAACTATGATGTTAGACAAGAAGTTGTTTGCGTCACATCTGAAGGGCTTAAACAATTAAAAACATTGGGTATTACGAATAGTATAAACTTTAAAGAAAGCCGTTAACACCTGCCAATAAGTGTCCAATTACTGGAAATTTACAAGAAAAGACTTTGGCATTATCAAATGGCTCTTACTATTATAACACTATTTGGCTTAGTATTAATACTTTTTTTATATTATCAAGTAAACAAAGTCAACAAGATAGTGTAAATAGTTCAGAAACTAGAAGAAAAATTTAAAAGATTTTTTGAAAAAAATTTTTTGGCATATGTTTTATTACAATATGTTTTTGTATTTTTTGTTTTCGCGGGCTTTTTGTTTTTTACCTATTATTTATTTACCTATTAATTCGATACATAAATGTTCAGGAACAGGAAGTAAAAATAAATTTATCCAACTATTTTTGTAGTCTTATTACTGACAGCGCTAATTTTCATGTTTACGTATTTTTCTATTTTAAATTAAATTAAATTTAATTAATATATTAAATATTTAAAAAAAAACACGAAAGATTTAAAATAGTATTTGTAAAAGCTTTTTAGATATACGCGGTATTCGTTTTTAGGTCGTGTAGTATTTTTTCTCGCTACCGGCGCGGGGTCACACTTTATTTAGAGTGACCGTACCAGGACGATAATAATTCGAAGATAGTTCTGGAATTTCGTAGATTTAATTAATAATAAAAGCCTAATAAGCAAAGCAAAGTAGCCAATGTAAGTCCCCTCCAAGTTGCCAGTGTGCGAGACAAACGATTCGTCAGGGTTCACTCATTATTTTCGTTTTTCCGACTCCCCACAAATCGGTGCTATACGAAACTTCCAAAAAGATGTCGGACTGGGACTCTGTGACCGTTCTGCGGAAGAAGGCACCCAAATCGTCTACTCTGAAGACGGAATCGGCAGTTAACCAAGCGCGCCGTCAGGGAGTCGCTGTGGACACCCAACAGAAATGTGAGTGTCGGTTCTATTGACACCCCCAACACATTCCCATGCATTCGAAAAGTGACCCCCTTCGCGAGCACACCACTGTCTAACCTACAATCACCTCCTGCTGCATTGCGTGGCATTTGATTTGTTATTTGTGTCATTGGATCCGCTGATTTCACCACTGCAAGCTAACCTTTCATGGGGCTTTTGTAAATCCCCTCTATTAATACCTGGTTTTTACCATATCGTTTAGATGGTGCTGGCACCAACAAGCAGCATGTAACCACCAAAAACACTGCCAAACTGGATCGCGAAACCGAGGAGCTGCGCCACGACAAGATTCCCCTCGATGTGGGCAAGCTCATTCAGCAGGGTCGCCAAACAAAGGGCCTGAGCCAGAAGGACCTTGCAACTGTAGGTTTTAAAAACACTTTTATTGCTATTTATTTAAGGATATTATGGATTTTTCTTCTGTATATTATAACACAACAAAATCAAAATTTAAAATCCCGAACTTATAGTAACGTTATGCTATAGGAAACATTCGTACTCTAGTAGAGTTGTTCAAACATGGACAAACTAAAACATGAACATATTAGTATTAAAAAAATTTTAAGGAAATCCTTATCCTAATTGGTTATTTGCTCAAAAAAACCCTTAAAATGTTTTAAGCCCCTTCTATTAATTGTGCTTAATCCTTGACAGAAAATTTGCGAAAAGCAGCAGGTCGTGACCGATTACGAGGCTGGGCGCGGTATCCCGAATAACTTGATCTTGGGAAAGATGGAGCGCGTTCTGGGCATGAAGCTGCGCGGCAAGGAGCGCGGCCAACCAATAGCGCCTCCCGGTAAGAAGTGAGACGATGCTGCCGCGTCCGCTGCTAGTGGTGCTCATCCTACGACCACCTCAGCACGCAGCGCCCGTCAACAGAACCATCAACAACCGGATTCTGGCGGCTGGAGCACTGTAAGCGGCAGACGCAAATGAAGCATTATCGGGAGGCTGAAGACCCAAATCAAATCGGATCATACAGCAGCAGCTGCAGGCGCAGCAAACACACCAAACACACCACTATGAGCGCCAATTTCGCAATCGTTTGTCTAAGCCAAGAAGTTTAGCGGGATTCGCAGAGCTTGCCACTTGTCAATCTTTTTACCGATAAATTAACCATTGTAATTTCCCAAAATACATACACTCACACACAAAATGCACACAAGCCGGATACGGAAACGAGGACGGACGTGAAACGCAACAGACTTATCTGATATTAACGCGCTCATAGATGGGACATGTGTTATTCATTCATATTGGCATTAGAGTTTGTTTTGAAACTTGATATAAGTTATGGAATTAAAACCAAGACATGATAAGCATGGAAAAACACTCGAATTTCTTTCAATCTTCTTATCATCTATCATCAGCCATACTCAAAATTTGCATGAACAACTCATTACCATTCAGCTATAAAACACATTAAATGATATATGCAAATTCTTAGAGCTTAGTCGGACTTTCCCTCTATTTTTTAAATTATCGTGTAAGGGTCTAGAACTGTGCGTTTACAAATGCATTATACATATTATACAAAAACAACAACATTTGCTAAATGTATTTAGAAACATTTTCTAGTCTACAAAGTATTTAAATATTTAAGCGATGGCATTTTCTCGATGTTTATTTATTTCCCACTGCCCAAACCTCATTCCTCCGCAGATAAATATTAAAAACCGGAGATACATATACGATAAAACTCCCATACGTGTGCAGAAAAGAGATAACTTTTTGCCCATAAATAACTCGTAATTATCTAATAAATGTTTTCGGCCATCTAAACTACATTTTAATGGTAATCCAAGGAAGTTTTATTGGGACTTCGACATTGAATTGATTTAGAACATTTGTTTCACTAATGGCTTTACTTTAAAATTTGTTTGTTTTTTAATATTTCTACGTGGTAAGGATAAAAGATGAAAATATCTTCCCTACGACTAAGAATCTTGAACTGAAATACAGAGAAACCGGTTTCTGCTTTGAGGTGCCATGAGAGCATATTAACAAACAATTTTAGAAGAATTCAAGAGAAGGACAATCACCAAACCTTTCAATAAACATTTAGTTTCACAAATGCAAAACTACTTAAGGAATAATTTTAGCACTCAAGATTAGAGTAATAAGGTCCACATGCAATTTATCAAAACCGTTATTGTTCTCAATATTTTCCTTACGCTTATACAATTAGTTTTTCTTTTAAAGATATAAGCATTTTGATGGGTTAATTTAGTTTTAGGTTTTGAAATTACTTTAAACACCGATCAATATCATTTTGTTAAGTCATCACAATGCCTTCTACAACTGCAATAAGTAGAAGAGCTCATCGTTTTTAATATCTACTAAAAGTATTTGTTTTTTTTAATAAATTATTATTATTCTCTAAGAAAAGGCTAAGTCAGGGATCTCATGGTCTGCATTTTTTTTTATGAACAGCTTTAGTGCTCTCTCAAAGTCCCACTCGGCTTGCTCAACAATCGATGTGCACCAAGGGGAAGTAAGCCCGGTTACCTCTTGAAATAAAAGTAGTTTGTGGTCCTTCACATCCAGAGAATCCTCTTCCACCGGGCGTTCACTCGAATCCGGATAACTTACACTGAAGGCTTTCCGAATCATATTTTTTGAAGGATTTAAAATGTTTAGACGTTCGTTTGTGATTTTTAAGCGGCGAGCTCTTTTACCTAAGCCCTATAAAATGTTAAATGGAAATTATTTTTTCATAAAAACATTTTAAAATACCCTGTATTATATAACTCACCAGGCCCTCTTCCTCGAACTTGATCACGAAATGCCGACTAAAACCCAGGTAGACATCGCCAATGGATGATCTGTTTGACTGGCCGTTCATTTTGAGCGAAGTCTCATCGCGCAGCAAACCAGTCACGTATATTACTGCCATTTTTCCATCGTAATGCATTACGTCTGTCTGAAGGGAGTGGAAGTCATGGGTGACTCTTGGCAGTTGCAATAGCATTTCAACGATCTCATCGGAACCAACGTACACATTACTAGACGCTCTCGATATCTCCTTGTCGTGAAGATTTCTCGAGTGCCTCTTGTAATGTGATATTCGTTGTACCATATGGCGAGTTTGGTGATTCTGGACAATAGTGTAGTTACAAGTTAAGGTGAAAAGCGAGTCCTCAGAGTAATACTTGTACAGATTGATTCGAAACTCATCATTTTCAAACTCCCGTAGATAGTTTTTGAGAAACACCTCGCCTACCAACTCGTAGGCACCTATGTCACAAAGGAAATTCTTCTGAACCGACTGTCCGGGTCTCGTCTGCAGATCCACGCCATCTAAGGTTGTCAATTGCGGAAATATCTGCACGACCGCCCGAACATACTCGCTGGGAAGGCTGTAGTTACGGCAAAGTTGATTTCCGTGGAGTACGAGGGATTTAAGTGGCAGCTCGCCTAGACACGAGATCGACGACAGGTCATGCACCCAATTGTGACTCAGATCCACGGCACGTAGACAACCCATTAACCGAAGGGCACGAGCACCTTCCAAAAACAAGATTTTATTGCGGCACAATCGAATCTCCGAGCAGGTTGTCATGAATTGCCTCGACGCCACCGATAGTACTTGAGTCAAAATCTTTGGCGAGCTTAATGACACCACCACGTCTTTTAGACTCTCATTGGACTGAAAATGTTCAAGATTGAGCAATCTGTTCTGAGGCAAATAGCATTGCTTGACAGCTATCCTTATGCACTTCTCTGGATCAACATGATGCTGTTTAAAGGTGCACACGTTCATCCTTAAATAGTAGTGAAACTTCCGTCCGTCGTTCGGTATACTCATCTCCAGGTTGCAATTATTCACCAGGTGTGCAATCTGGTCGAAACAATTGCGTATGAGAAAAACATGATCCGTTCCTATATACTATTTTATATGGAATCGAAATGTTAGCCAGAATACGAAGAAAATAAGATTGACATACTCACCTTGTAGTAGCAGGGATAAAACTCACTTAGAGACGGATCCAGACTTATAAAGAAAAAGTCAAAGAACACCTCCTGGCTGAATTCGTGATTGGGATCGGGTATCTATTAAGAGTAAATTACATGCGTTAGTTATCTTAATCAAAAGGTAGGGGTTGGCGGATTTGGTCATTCTTAGGTAAACTTACAATAAAAGCATGCCAGTCCTGGCTGTTTTCAAACTCGGGCACTTTCCACTTCGTATTTAAGTCGAGACGCGATCCGTCAGTCTCCAAATCGATTTCTCCATCCAGCGGTGAAAAGGTCTTGTGAAGCATATTAAAAGGTTTTCCATCCTGAATAGTAGCTTGGTATCAATTATCAAGAATGAAAACCTGCTTTAACTTTGCACTTACCACCAACTTGAAGTTGTTCTCCAACAACCTTATGTTACCCGGAAAGTGACTACTTTTAACTATAGGATTATTCGCCAAGAGGAGTTCTCTGGCCCGGAATTGTTCCAGAGCGCGACACAATCGTTCGGCGGATTTTATCTAAAAATAATAGTTATACAAGTCTCAAAACTCCACGACGCTTCAGCTTACCTTGTTGCCCCTTAAGTCGAGTAAGGCGTAATCAACATTGGCGAAAAGAGTCAAGGGTCTAATATTTCGGATGCTGTTGTTAGACAATATGAATCCATTCAACCGGAAGCGTTCTGTATCGTTGTTGTGTATCACCTGGCACACGTTCCTCAGTATGCTCACATTCCCTAGGCTTACCACGATGTTCTTGAACTCTGAATGGGCACCGAAATTGTTTAAGTCGAGCAGGCCGTCCACGCCGTCCTTTTGGACAAGACTTTTCATCAACCTTGTTACTACCCGGGCTATGAGGAACAAAGGCGATATTTGGTTCATCTTGTACTGGGCTACACCCAGTTGGACACTAATCGGAATAGAGGCACCGCTATCCAGACTGATGGTCAATCGCTGATTGAAGAGATTGTCAATGGCCGCCTTGCAGTTTCTAGCTAAAAGAGTATCAGCCTTTTTTCCTCGCTGGAAATCATGATATATGTACATATTTATGTTTTAATATCAATAGGGTATACAGATTATGGTACCCACCTGGTAGAACACTGGAAAAAAGTCTGCTCCATCTACCGCCTGGTATAAAGCCTCCAAGATCATTTGTTGCGGATGCGCCAAGTAAAACAACTGACCGCCATGGTGCACGGTAATTTCGTTCCAATGGCAACCCAGAACACGATCTCCGTAGCTATTACAGTTTTTGAAGACCGTGGCATCAGGATAGTCCAAATGGATGGGAGCCGATCCATCGCCAAAGTCGAGGACTTGTATTTGGGCTGGCATTGCAATCGTAGAATATATTGCTTTTATGTATTTCAAATCGTTCACCTGTCAAAAAAATTAACTGTAAATGGTAGTGTTGGAAAGATTCGGAGATAGGTTTTTTTTTTCAAAGAAATTATAATATTTAAAGTTGTATAAAAGACTTTTTTAAACAACACATTTCAACACATCACATATGTGTGTATACATGTGATGATGCATATGTTTGTATATATGTACGTACATATGCTAGCATCCTCCCGAATATCAGGAAATCCCCATATAATACGCACCAAAAAAATACAATCTCTCACTTCAAGGTTCGTCAGGAAACTGACGCTCTTAAGTGACTATATTGGGCTGGGAGTAAAAATTCTGCTTGCCTCAGCATTTTTTCTACTAAGCAACTGAAACCCGACCCTTCACTGACTCGATTAAAACCGGGGAAAACGCTAATGACTCCTTAACATAAACAATTTTTAATCATTTCGTTTTCTTAATGGCTACAAGTCTTCATTAAAGATGTTTAGATGAGATGAGATATGGAATTACTTCTTGGGTGTCTTTTTCTTGGCGCTGTTGCTGGTACTGGCCTCCTTCTTTCCTTGGTAGAGACCCGTATAATAGCCAGACATATACCAGGCGGTGAGCATGGCCACGAAGTCCTGCTCGGCGCCATCACCCTGTCCAGCAATCATAGGTGGTACCGGTGGCATGGGTGGCATGACCAGACCCCCAGAAATCCTACCCTTTCCGCGTGACTTGGGAGTCTTTGCATCACCAGCAGCGGCGTTAGATGCTCCTGGGCGTCCCGACTGATCGCCCTCTTCCTTCTTGGCGACGAGAAACTGCTCTCGACGCACCCGCTTGCCCCAGGTGGGAAGCAAGTCCATAAGCAGCACCTCTTGCTCGTTCTCGTAGCCCAAATAGCGAATAACGCAGGTGCCTTTCTCCTCGTTAATCGAGACCACGGCGCCCTCGTAGTCCAGACCGTCTACATAGGTAGCCCGGGCATAGTCTCCCACCTTGAAGGACACGGGCTCCGGACTGATAGCTCCACCAGTGGCCGAATCTTCGCAAACTTCTTCATCGGCGGCTGCGTTTTCCTCCTCACGCTTGTTTGTGGAATCGGCCAAGCGGCGGGCCAGTGCCTCTCGCGCCAATCCAACAGACTCGTCGTACGTTTTTACCAGTAGGGAGTCATCCCATACGGTGGTGTTAACCTCTTCGGTCATCTTCGGGGCTATTCAATTAGGTATCACGTTTCCGAAAGGATGAATACAAATTCGTTTTTTTGTGTTAAATTTCCCGAGTGTTGGAAATCGCAGGAAAAGCTTCTGCACTGCACACCTCTGATATGAAAATATCGTCTAGATATGGACAAAATATTTCGTGAATGTTATTTGAAGTTTGTAAGGACCTCTTAAGTTCGAGATCAAATACACATTTAGAAGTGTTCGAATACACACATAAATTATTTTAATTAATCTTTACCATTTTTCATTTCATAAAGAATCAAAAAAATCGATAGACACGCAACATCGATTGTCGACTCAATGAAAAAAACCATCTTTAATAAAAAGCGAAAATCATCATCTGCATCAATTTTCAATCCGCATAAAACTGAAAGAAAGTAAAGAATGGCCGCCGTGGAAGCGCTTTACAAGGAACTAACTGCCGAGTGGGGGAAGCGGCCACCAAACACAGGTAAATGCGGCCAGCTGCTGGATCAATTAAAAGTGGCGCTGGTGAAGATGGCCTTCCTGCCTACGGACGGAAACGACGCTCAGAGCTCCAAGAAGCAACTAATTCTGGCCCGAAGTGTTCTCGAAATTGCCGTGGAGCATAGCGTGCTCAGCAAGGATCTGCTCGCCTTCGAGCGCTACATGGCTCAACTAAAGTGCTACTACTACGACTACGCCAAGATTATCGGCGAATCGGAGAGCAAGTACAAGCTGCTGGGTCTTAATCTGCTCTACCTGCTTTCCGGAAATCGAGTCTCAGACTTCCACACGGAACTGGAACTGCTCTCCGTGGATGTCATTCAGCACAACCAGTTCATCCGTCCGATCCTGGCTTTAGAACAGTACATAATGGAAGGACGTTACAACAAAATCTTTCAAGCAAAGTCGACAGTGCCCGCCGAGGTGTATAGCTACTTCATGGATCTGCTAGTTGAGACCGTGCGTGACGAGATCGGTGCTTGTATCGAAAAGTCATACGACAAGATCTCCGCCAAGGATGCGGCTAAGCGGCTCAATCTGCGTGTCCCCGACGAGATCAAGACGTTCGGCGAGAAAAGGCAGTGGAAACTAGAGGCCAACGGCGACTATAGCTTCACGGACCGCAGCGTCAAGCCGAAGGAGCTACTTCCTTCCGAGGAACTGGCCGAGCAGGTGCTCAGCTACGCCCGGGACCTCGAGATGATAGTTTAAGTCTAATGCAGCCCGTAATAAAGGTTAAGAAAAAAGTTCTAGTATGCTGGATTTAATTTTTATAAAATGTACCTATAATAAAAAAAAAATAATAATTCTATGATAGTCATTTTCTTTCCTTACAATCAAATGTCAAATAAAATTACCGCTGGTTATTTAACCATTTATTAATTTTCTTATTAACAAATATTTATTTTTGTTTTGAGTACATCTTTCTTAAGTATTTTTCATAACTTCTTTTTACTGTCAAAGTGAACTGACTATTCATAAATGTATATATATATATATATATATATATAGTCAATTAAATGATTTCTTGATCATGATATTTTGAGATTCCTGTGACTTAGAGAAATCACTGATATTAATAGTGTAACCACACTCAAATTGGAATTAGTGCAATCCCGTGCGACGGCCACACTAGCGCGAACGACCAAAATTTTCGCTGTCCCTTGCGATTATTTGTAACAATCTTTGCTTAAAAAGCAAATAGAGGAAATTATAGCATAATACACGCCATGGCCTGCAACGCTAGCAAGACGTCGCTCCTGCGTGCCATCGCCGTAAGTCTCAACTTAACCAAAAAAAAGTTACGGCAGCGAATCTCCCAAACGGGGAGGCTCGTGTTACGTAAAACACCCGAAGTTGCCATCCAAACAATGTCGAATATAACAAGAATCATGACATTCTTGTCTTGTTTTCCGCCAGAAACGAGGCTATGCCACCTGCCCGCGACCCGTCGGCGACTTGTCCGCCGTGAATGTGAAGGTTCTGGAGAACAAACTGGTGGTGGCCACCGCCGATGCAACTCTTCCCGTTTCGCGCGTGTCTCTTGTACTGGGGTAAGTCCATGAAACAGTAGCCTCTAACCAAAGTATCCTAATCCGCAATTTTAGAGCTGGATCCCGCAACGAGGCTTACGACACCCAGGGCGCTTCGCACTTGCTCCGCTTGGCCGGAGGGCTGAGCACCCAGAACTCCTCCGCCTTCGCCATTGCCCGCAACATCCAGCAGGTTGGTGGCACCTTGACCACATGGGGCGACCGTGAGATCGTCGGCTACACAGTGACCACCACTGCAGACAACGCAGAGACTGGCTTGCGCTATCTGCAAGACCTGCTGCAGCCTGCCTTCAAGCCCTGGGAGCTGGTCGATAACGCTAAAACGGTGGTCAACCAGTTGAACGCCGTATCTACGGAGGTAAGACAACATACCAAATTAGTATATATATCAATATCTTTTTTTTACAGTATAGATATACATATATTTCTAAAATTGTAGAATATTTATATTATTTATTTATTACTATTTGCTCAAATTGTACCATCTCTTTATATTTACTTATCTTTTGCAGCAACGCGCTATTGAGTTGGTGCACAAGGCCGCTTTCCGCAACGGTTTGGGTAACTCGATCTACTCACCCCGATTCCAGCTGGGCAAGCTTTCCTCTGAAAGTCTTCTGCACTACGTAGCCCAGACCTTCGCAGCCGGCCGTGCTGCCGTCGTGGGCGTGGGCATCGACAACAACACTCTGGCGGGCTTCGCGCAAACCCTGCAGTTCCCCAGCGGCGGCGGTAAGGCTGCCTCCGCAAACTGGTATGGAGGAGATGCCCGAAAGGACACCACCGGTCATCGTGCCGTCGTTGCAGTGGCTGGCCAGGGCGGTGCCGCTTCGAACCATAAGGAGGCTCTAGCCTTTGCCATTCTCGAGCAGGCTGTCGGTGCCAAGGCGGCCACCAAGCGCGGCAACTCAGCTGGACTCTTCGGCGAGGCCGTCAACTGCGCCGGCGGAGCGGGTGCCTCTGTTAAGTCTCTGAACGCCAGCTATTCGGATGCCGGACTTTTCGGTTTCGTTGTCTCTGCCGATGCCAAGGATATTGGCAAGACCGTGGAGTTCCTGGTGCGTGGCCTGAAGTCCGCTTCTGTTTCCGAAAAGGATGTTGCCCGCGGCAAGGCTCTGCTGAAGGCACGCATCATCTCGCGATACTCGTCGGACAGTGGTTTGATCAAGGAGATCGGTCGCCAGGCGGCACTCACACGGAACGTGCTGGAGGCGGACGCTTTGCTTAGCGCCATCGATGGCATCTCGCAGTCGCAGGTCCAGGAGGCAGCCAAGAAGGCGGGTAGCTCTAAGCTGGCCGTTGGAGCTATCGGCCACCTTGCTGGCGTCCCATATGCGTCCGATTTGGCTTAAGTAGATAAACACCTGTACATCTGTTAACCGTAAAGTAACGACTAAATAAACCTGTTGAAGGGAACGATCCGCGAACGTAGATACTTATAAATCCTACTTTAATTCGTGTATACATAAATAATGAAACTTTGGATTAACGACAGATAGACATTCCTCCACGCAGGTCATAAATATAAAGCAGTAGCGTAACAACTGGAATACATCACTAAACGAAAACCACGATGATTATGGCCACAAACAATGCGATGATGACCAGCCAGTAGCCCCAGGTGCTATCCCGGCGGTTGACCTGTCCAATACTTTGGGTTTCTCTCTGCACTCCCGTCTCCACGCGATCCATAGCATTGGCCAGATTATCCAGGATGTCTGCAAAGTAAAAGGGATGATTATGGCATAGTATTCATGGGGGAATACATACTGTTCTGGTCCTCCACTTCGTTGCCCAGTTGGGTGGCCAGTTGTCGTTGCCTAGATAATGTGGCTGATAGAACTTCCAGACCTTGGTTCTGTTGTTCTAGCATCTCAATCTTTCGCTGCTTCAAGGCCTCCACATCCAATGCGGTGGAAGAACTGCTTTGACTCGGAACTAGGTCTTGATCCTGCCAAGCAGATCCAGAAGCGGTGGTGGTCTGGTCATTCGAGCGCGTGCTATTGGCGAATTTCTCGCGGATCTCACGCAGCTGCGAGTTGAGTCGGTCATAATCGATACGCCTTTGCTGCAGCTCTTCCTCCGGGCTCGTTTCCCAGGTAATAGCGTTGTCCAGCACAACCTTTAAATGCTTCATGTCCTTGGCCAACTGCTCCAGTCCTGACTTTATGCTGCTCGTCAATTGGACATACTGGCTAGCCCTCGTACTAGGCTGTTGACGCTGATTGAGGTGCACCAGCAGCTGGTGGCGCAGTCGCTCGCAACCCTCATACTCAATATCCCAAGAATCATGATCCACCAGCGCCATTTTCCCGGTTTATCTATGAGTAATGTAGTTATCAATAAACAAAAACTACGCCTCAAGGAAAGCACACAACAAAAACATTAGCACAGCAACAGCTGATTCCTGCTGGCGATAGGGTTCCCAGAACTAAGCAAAACGGTCACACCAAATAAAAAAAAAAAATTTTTCATTTAAACGCAAAATAAGCCAAATATAAAAAATGTAACAACAAAGCGACTAATCGAAGTATTCAAAATTTTTAAACTTAAAATGTAAGTTCTTTTGAATTATTTTGAATATTACTTCATATTTCAAAATATGTTAATATGTTCAAGATATAGTTGTAAATTCAAAAAATCTTAAAATTTATTGTTTAGTCAACATTTAATCCTTAGCATCTTATCTTCGATATTTTATAATATGGAAAGGGAGAACTACTAGGAAACATTTAAGGTTTTACGACAACTAATTCGATATACAAATTTAATTCAATATATATATTTTCAAAAGTATTACCTGGTCACTCGGAAAATTGACAAAATGAATTTTTTTTAATAAATCACTCTTCAAAATTAGAAATGTTTTCCAAATTGCTTCCTTCTGTGTTATTGTATGCTGGTCGCCGAACATTTTCAATTTGTTCAAAAATCTACACTATTCCCAATAGTAATGGACTGATCAATAGGCCACCGTTAAAACTTCCAAATGATTATTCACAGAAGAGATGCTTTGGAACCCATATTGTTATTCGTCATAACAGAGACAGCTTCTACATTGACATTGCCGAAAATCGAGCCGAGTTACTATTTTCCGTGGATGCAGGTGTGATGACAATTAAAAGTACCAAAGTTCCGAAGGCGTTGGGAGGACACGGCATAGGAAAAATATTGGCAAAGGCTGCACTAGAATATGCACTACTGAATGGATACTTCATTATTATCAAGTGTCAATTTGTTCAGCACTATATTGACAAATATGAACCACAATACGCCGAGTACATACTCAAAAAAAACATCTGATAATTCGATTTGATTTAAATTATCAAATACTCTACATATACTAATTCATTAAATATTATCAAATATAGAAATTTATTGTTGCCTTGCTTAGGTTATTTATATTCTTTATATATTCCATGAACTGTGAAAAGGTAAAACGTATTTACGTAAATATTTGTTAATTCATACAGAGATAAATATAAATCTATTTAATCTGCCAAACATCTATGTATATATATATTTATATATGTACATAAACAGCCGATCAAGAGTGGAAAGCTTATTCTTAAATATCTCGAGAAATATGCATGTAACGGAAATTAAAATGTAATATCTTAAATGAAATTATACATTTCGAGCATATAATTGAAACATTAAATTAACAGGTCTTAACTTAAATACTTCATAATAATAATACACAAATAATTATTTTTTTACGCACATAAGTTATTCGTACAATTCTCATGATTGACTTATATTTCTGAATTCAACATTTATCCGCGATTCTTTCTTGAACTATACTTCGATGTGCAATTCTCAAAGTTGTTTAGTTAGTTTCGCTGCGTTTATTGCTGCAATTGGACGAAATGGGTTGGGGTGAAGATTTAACTCAAGATTTTCGAAAAACTATAATGAAATTAAATTTAGAGGATCGGTTATCCCAAAATTGTTAGAATTATCGTCAAGTAACCTTACACAAAGCAAAGTGTGATACAAATAATACATAAACACTGGAGAATTTGTTGCAGAACAAAAAAAAAACAGGAAGGACCCAGATATTGACACCACGGGAGGAGCATGAAGTTGTAAATACAGTACAGACTAATGGAAATTAATAGATTAGGACAGATTTTTTATAATTGTTCAATACGGATCAGATTTTTTATTTTATTTTTAAAAACATACAATATTATTTTTTTAAATACCTAATATTTGTTTCTAAGTATGACCACCACCTATGGGCCTTCTCTAACTGTGCTCACCCACGCACGAAACGACACGATAGTTGCGACCGGCCAAGGAAAACGATGTCACTAGACTTTTAATAAGTGACATAGTTCACCCACACATTTGTACTTGCAATGCTGTCGATAGTTGTGATTCAAATACTTTAAGTTATCGGCATAAAATGATTGATAAGGTCGACGTAGAATCTTGAAACCGCCAGCTAGAAGTTAGCATTTTTATTCACATTTATATGCAATAGTAAAAGATCGCGACATTCGTCAAAGCCGTGACAAGTCACTGTCTATTCATCGCGAAAAGTAACAGGTACGCAACTATCGCCCATCCCTAACTCACACGTACACACAAATCGACACGTTTAGTCGTGATTTCTATTTTATTTGTTTCAAATTACACTCAAAAAAGAAACAATCCGCGACCCGAAACCTCTGGCCACAATGCCGAGTGCCTGTTTAACCGTGCGCGAGCATTCCACTTAATTGGAAGCCAGCGCGGCCGTATTTTTTATTGTTTTCCGCCCGGGAGTGGGAGATCGGAAAATTAGCAGCAGGGCAAGCCATCGGTCCGCTGCAAAATAGGGATTAATAGAATATAGTAACGCATAAAATCAGGGGTCCATCATGGAGCGGCGCGTGAAGCTGAAGACGATCAATCCGCACATTACGTGCAAGATATGCGGGGGCTACTTCATCGATGCTACCACAGTGACGGAGTGTCTGCACACATGTAAGTCCTTTCAGCACGGAGTACCAACTGACTAATAACGCTAATATTGCTTTTTTAGTTTGCAAAAGTTGCTTGGTGAAGCACCTGGAGGAAAAAAAGACCTGCCCCACCTGCGACAACATCATCCACCAGTCCCATCCCCTGCAATACATCAGCTTCGATCGCACCATGCAGGACATTGTGTACAAACTGGTGCCGAAACTACAAGAAGGTTAGCCCAGTTCCAGGGTTTATTTTTCCCAATCTAATACCCCATACCGTTAATATTATAGATGAATCGCGCCGGGAGCGGGACTTCTATAAGAGCAGGAACATGCCATGTCCGAAGGATATCACGCAAAACCATGAGGATGACAACGAAAAAGTGATGGACGCCCACGCCGAGTCTGACTTCCATCGCCTGGACGAGCAGGTGAACGTGTGCCTGGAGTGCATTAGCAATAACTTCAAAAACCTGCAGAGGCGATTTATCCGCTGCAGTTCGCAGGCGACGATAACGCACCTCAAAAAGCTGGTGGCCAAGAAGATCCTCAACGGGATTGAAAAGTACCGAGAGGTGGGCTTAACTTTTATATCTAATATGCTTCGGGTTTTCACTTAAATGACTCCACACGTTGTTGAAATGCTCTCACTTAAGTGAAAACAAGATCAGGTGTATTTAAAATGGAAAAAATGTTTTCATATATAATCTTTTAGATCGACATTCTGTGCAACGAGGAGCTGCTCGGCAAGGATCACACGCTGAAGTTCGTCTATGTGACACGCTGGCGCTTTCGAGATCCTCCGCTCCGGCTGCAGTTTCGTCCGCGGGTCGAGCTCTAACCACTGTTTTAGTATAATGCCACAACAAATGATCTATTTTTATAATTTATTGACAAAGCGTAAATATCGTAATTAGGAGAGAGTCGCTAGTGTTAGTTTCCCAAAACCATGTGTGTATGTGTAAATGTGCATGTATAAAGTCGTAATTATATGGTTATCCCTCCTAGGATTAAGTAATTTCCTCTCCTTACTCGTGTGACTTTTGTTGCCACCGTCTTCGCTGCATTTGCTCATGATTTAATCAACTTTCTCCGTTTGCAATATTTTATGTTCTCCTCCTTTAGTTTCAAATATATATATTTATTATTTTAATGTACAAAACACACGAATGTAAATAAATTTGTAATTATGTCGAATGGTGTATGTCTAATGTGGTGGTTGCCACTCGTTTCTGTAGCTAAATCGAGGAGCTCCCATGTATGGTGGGCGATGTCGGAATCTGTAAGTGGCAGATGGGAAAGGAAGAGGGTGAGACGGTCGCTGATAACCATATCTTGGTGGAGGCCTTATGGCATATGCTCCATACGTCCCCTGCAAAAAACGTTCGAATTTGATCAAAATATTGCTATCCCTGTTAAGTCATAAAAAAGATAAATCTACTAACATAGAATTCCTGAGCTGGCACTTGGACATAGTAGTTTATGATCTTTGGCGGCGGGTTGTACCGATGAGGAGTCCTTTGGCGATGTCTCCGTTCGCTGCTGCGACTCCGGCTGTGATTCCGACTCCTTGAGCGGTGGCGATGCCTTCTGTGTCTGCTTCCCCGCTCAGAGGAGTGGGATCTGGAGCGGGTACGTCTGGTGGATCTTGGAGATCTTTGTCGCAGCCTTCTCACTCTATCCTTTTCCCGTGCCTCATCTGCAAAATACGGAACCTTAGGCTCCTCCCTTTTTTGATTCCTCTCCCTTGGTCGATCATAGTTTTCCCTTTCGCGCCGGGATTGCGATCTGGAGCCAAAAGAATCTATGTAGAAAGAGTAGGGTTAGTCAATCCAGTCACTCTGTAGCTTGTGGTGCCTCTTTGGAGTCCACATAATGCGGAGTTGAGAGTCCAATTGTCCTAGCTTCTTTGTCTTCACGTTCAGCGTTAAATATTGCCCATTCTACATTTCACTTTCACACATTTGGCACTAGAAAAAAAACAACAAAAAAGTTGCACTTGATCAGATCGGATATACTATAATAATATATACCTCGGTGCACAGCTCCACTACTGTCGGCATCCATTTTCATCGGTAAATGCAGGGAAATTATGCACTTTGTGTTAATGTGCCCGTTTCTGTGTTACACAAAATGTGACCACCCCAATCATTTTTCGATTATTTATCGTAAAATTAGGTTTTTTTAAATTGAAACGTTAAAAAAAAACTATTTTTATTTATAATCTTTATTAAACATTATTTTATAAGTATGTGACAATACGCCATTTCTTTTCTGGAACAAATAAAATTAAAACAAATTGGAAAAACTCAATTGGCAGGCACAAAAAGTTTTAAAACTTAAAGATTAGGGGCACATTTACGCGCTCGTTCTCCATTGAGACCACTATGAGTGGCTCCTTCTCTAGCAAATCGCGCCTGGGCCAGCGCATCAGGCGCACATCGATCTCCGCCCGACCGCCATCCGGTCTAACGTAACACTCGGTGGGACTGATCCGCACCAAGTCCGACACAGTGCAACTAACCTCGATAAGCTGCCTGGACCGAAAGCTGTTTGTAACGGACAAAGTTGCGAGGGATGTACCGTCGGCTTCGAATTCCAGCGAAACAGGCAGCACAAACCAATTGCGGTCGACGGGCATTATAGTGGTGGTATCCGCTTCTAATAGCTCATCCACCGGCTCCAACATGTTGCTCTGCGTTGGCGTAGGCGAACCCGCCACACATATCGTTCGGAATAATACAGTTTCATCTGCCTCCGGAAGGAACATCAGAGAGCTCTCGGAAGATTCATCGAAATCACGATTAAGGGTGAGCGCAACATCGATGATCCTCACCACGGTGACCAAGTCCAGGATGAACTCGGGCGGCTCGTTGAGCAGCCCGATATTCCGAACTGCCTGCTCTTCCGGAAAATCGCCCCATATGCTGTCCAGCATCGGCGAGGTTAGTTTCTCTCGCTGGCGACTGCTCATCCTCTGCACCAGACTTCGCATACGCTGTCGATTGGGCTCGTCGCCACAGAAAATCCGCATGTTGGCTAGCGTTAGCACCTGGGCGGTCTTTTTCAGTATGTTTTTCAAATCTTCGCGGTTTGGACGGAAAAGAATCTGTACGTTACCCTCGCTATTTGGCGACAAAATCATTCGACTGGGACGAACCTCAAAGGCTTCACTCAGGCGCAACTTCATAAGCACTGTAGAGTCCACTGAAATGCCTACAAAGGCAGTCAGCGGACCCTTGTTGTGGAACCTAAGACTGGCCGAAAGAGGACCGGCAGATAGTTCGCAAACATCTCCAATTGTAAGAAAGCTGGCACCCACTGGTCCTTTTAGTAGACCCTGTATGGTGATGGACGCACTACCACCGTAGCCATAAAGCGGAATCTCCAGGCCCGGCTGGTTGCAGTTATGCGCTCCTACCGGGGCGTAGAAGGACAAGGCTCCAATGGCCGCACCACAAACAGTGGGACAGAAATTAATCACCACCGAGCGGCATTCCATAGCCTGCAAAGTGATAGTGTTGCTGTCGGCGCCGACGATTTGGAAACCAGGCCCTTGAATACCCAAACGTATGACAAGGCGTTTGTCTGCCGTATTCTTTACCTGCATGGACTTGCGCACATCTGTTCGCAGCTTTGTGCTGCCCCAACACAGACTCGTATGGGTCACCTTCAAGGGAAGCAACTTCCCATCACGGTGGCTAAACTCGCTAGAATTAGAACAGCGGGAAATGCTTCGCGGTGCAGTAACCGAGCTTGATCCTAGTCCCGTTCCACGTCTTCCATTCGTTGTGAATCCGCTTGTGGAACTTGCCTCGCTTCCCGCAGGCGAGGAGTTAGCCTTTCGTACGACTCCACTCATGAGCTGCCGGCGCTCGGAATTGGTGGTGCTGTCCAGCAGCGGAGAAGAGAGGCAGCTTCTGGGTGAAGATAAGGGTGATAGGTTTTTGGCAAGGTTCGGGGAAATCCCAAAGTCGCGTTCAGTCGAAGAGGCGATTGCAAGATCGGATCCATCCAAACGAGTACTGCTTAAGGAGGTGGGATTTCGCGAAACCAGGCCCACCGTGGAGATTGATACCCTCTTCTTGTTCACCGGCGTTTTGTCCTCGTCTTCGTTTTCATCTTCGGTACAGGTCAGTGGACGTATACCATCGCTACTAGCCGGACTTGCCATTCTTGGGGAAACCTTAGTACGTCTAATTCTGCGATTAGGCTCCTTCACCGGCGTTGAGGGCCACTCATCGACATCCGCATCGCCTTCAGTCTCTACAGGATCGGTGTCCGCACGGCTTATAGTAATTTGCGGCTGGTCCGCCAGTGGACTGAGCGGCTTGCGCGATATGCTCTGTTGTAGATGGCGAAAGTCCGTGGAGTTTAGCACAGAGTCTGTAAAACTCATAGTGTCCGTGAGTTTGTTAGAACCGCATAATGTTCGCTCAGCTTGGGAATGGCTACTATGGTTTTCCTTGTTCTCCTCGTCCTCGCAATTGTTACCACGACCATGCTCCCACAGTTGGTTGACAACTTCAACCGTGGATGTGTCCGAGTTCAAATCTATGTCCCTTAAAGCCTTGTCAATGGCTGAAAGACTCAAGATTTCAGAGTTCGAGGGTGACCGCTTGGGCTCTTTAGTCGTCTGGCCATTATTCGCTTTTAGCACCGTCTGAATCCGATCTTGTTGCATCTTTCGCATTAGGTTGCGTCCAAGATTAGAGCTTCCTGGGGTATCCGCCTTAGTGTAGGTCTTATTGTCAGGCTGCGGGGTCTTTCCGCCCACGGAGCTCAGTGTCTTATTGCCCTCTGGTTCCAATAGCGCTTGAGTGGGACGCGATCGATCCGGGCTGTCGTTATTCACTATGTTCCAGATATTCTCCGAACGTGTTTGGAAGTAGTTACCCAAAGAGAAATCTGGATCTCCGGCCAATACGGAGCTGTAAACAAAACATTTGTTGCTTTACCATTATCTTCAATCCAATATTTATATAACTTACTTGGACACAGAGGTTTCTATTTCGGATGTCGGCGGAGGTGCGGCTATTTTTTGCATTGCCTGGGTGCTCAAAGTTGCCGTTGGCATGGCGGTAAACTCTTGCGCCCAAGAGATCTCGCCCAGCACCAATTTGGATTGCATCAGTTCGGCAGGAGCGAAACTCTCGTCTTGGCCTTCAGCCGCAACTGAGGCGGAACCAAAAGAGAATCCACCGCCGCCATTGAGACTAAGGTCACTCATATCCGCTGTGCGCGGCAAACTGCGGGAGCAACTGAATGAGTCTGTGAGGCTGCTGGAATTGGCCCGTGACAAATGGTAGCTGGCCTCCAACTGGCTGACATCTTGCAGCTTTTTCTCCAGCAGGCGGGCCTTCTCCACGAAAGAGGTCTTGAGAATTTCGGCCACGGAAAGAGAGGGTTTTTCTCGGCGGCGCTGTTTTCCCGCCTGACAAAGCGTAGATCTCCCCGTGATTTCGGCGGGTTCAAACGAAATGTTAGTGCCCTTGGGAGCGGGCGTGACCAGGGCAAAGGAACCACTGCTGTTCAAGTCGATGGTCTCATCTGTTACCAACTCAGAGATATTTGTTGAAGAGCGCCTTTGGATAGCAACATTCTTTGCTTGACTAGAGCGAGAGGGCCGGGGCTTCTCCAGTGTCTCCAACGCACGTAGTCGTTCCTCCCGAAGACGCTCATGGACGCCGGTGGAGTCCCGAACTGAGCCACTCCTCCTACCGCTCTTGCTAAAGCTTGACAAATCACCAAAGACTACATGGAACCAAAATTACTCCCGTTTATTACGGGCTTTCAATGTGCTTCGCCTGCTTACCCTTTAGATTGTCCATGTTAAGAATTCCCAGAGAGTTTTGGTCTAAGTAGCTTCCATTTCCCTGGCTTCCATTGCTTTTGTCCATTCCGATGCCTCCTTTTACAGTTAGTGCGTACCCTTAAACAAAAAAGGCGCGTCGTTTTGTTCAAAAATGGACGTCGATAATCGATAACAGTGCAGGGCTGAACAAGGAGACTATGTAAAACTTGACTGTTCATATGTCAAATACTCAAATTCTTTTTCATTCATTTCATTAGGCTTTCATACGGCCACAGTCTAACACTAACAACAGTCTAAAATAACATTTTTTTTTAATTACAAGAAATACAGAGCAATACAAAAGTGAAGAAGAGCAAAACGTGGAACGCCAACGATCCTCCATCCCTGGTCGTACTTTCGCGAATTCTCCCCGGCTTCCCACTTCTCAATTCCTCTTAAGCCATTTCGGCTGGTTCGATTTATCCCCGATTTTGTATTTTGGCCTGGACACCTACACAGAAACTCATTTAATATGGAGGAAGCTATGCTGGCCGTAATCAATGGACTTATGGATCCGGACACAGAACGGATTCGCCAGGTGAGAATTACGAGAATTTGGTCCATTAGGCGGTGAAAAGGAGGTTATCCTTTCCGCCCTTTGGTGAAACATTTCATCTTACATATATCATCCTTTCCTTTGATTGCCGTTCGTTCTGACCGCGTGTAAACCACTTAAATACTATTCAGTAGCTATGTACATATTAGATCGGCATGTGCACATTCCTATACGTGCAAATGTTACTATGGCACAGTGGGTCGCAACGAATTTTTACTAGGTAAAAAAATTAAAAATGATTCTTAAACACATTCCTTTTTTTATAGCTTAAATTTCGAATATATGTACATACATACATAATAAATATATATGTATGTACATGTATCATAATTTCATTCATAATGGTTGGAATTCCACTGTCTATATCTATAACAAGCACGCTGCCACGCTGCTTCCTAATTGGGAAAATGTTTATGCGGGTAATATTTTGCTTTAATACGCTTTTTTTTTTCATTTATTTAGTCGACGGCCCAGTTGATGAAGGCCTATGAGAATCCCGATACCTTCTTGTGTCTCACTCAGATCGTAATTTCGGACAAACCGATCCCGGTGCGTCGGTATGCCGCCGTACTCCTCAAGAAGCGGTTCAACAAGCTGCGTCACTGGCAGATGGTTCCTGCCGAGCATCAAAAAGCGTAAGCATCTTTGGACACCTATTTATGACTAATTATAATTATCTAATCTCTGCCTTCCCCGCTTAGCATTAAATTGACCATGCTGCAGGTCCTCGCCAGCGAACAAGAAAAAAACGTTAGGAGTGCGGTAGCCCAGTTGATTGGCAACCTAGTGCGTCACGAGGCGGAAAAGGAAGATTCCTGGATGACAGAATTGCTTAAGTTCATCTACGATCGCTGCAGTAGTTCCAATCCGAAGGAGAGGGAACTTGGCGCCTCAATTTTCTCGAAGCTAACAGATTCTGCTCCCGACCAGTTTGCGTTACACATGGAGACCATTTTTCAGTTGTTTGCGGGTGTTCTAGTAACCGCCGAGGCGTCCGGCGACCTGGCTAATCTCGCAGTGTATGATATGCTAGTAGGCACATGCTATCTGTTGCCGTTCGTCAGCGGACATAGTGGTGCGGAGCAGACGGTGGTTAAGGCGGTGCCGCTGATCCTCAAGGCATTGCAAGCGTTCGCCGAGAAGGGAGATAGTAACCAGTTTATGGGCGCTTTTGATATTATGGACGGTATTTGCGAATATGTGCCTCATTTGCTGACCAGTAATGTCAAGCAGCTGCTGGAGTTTTGCCTACTTACAGCGAGAAACAAGAAGCTCGATGATTCAATTCGCGTTCAGGTAATATCCTATGTGGGCAGCCTAATGCGCCTTAAGAAAAAAGTGATCATGAAACAGAAACTACTGGAGCCCACCTTAGCCGTTATTTTTGAAGTGATGTGCGAGGACACCAACGATGAAGGTAGTAAATACTTCATAAATAGTTTCTAAGTTAGCTAACTGTTTTCGCTATCGTTTCTAGACGATGATTACTATTCCTCGGAAAGTTCCAATACCCCGGCAAAAACAGCCACACAGACCATGGACCTAATGGCTCTTCACATGTCGCCGGAGAAATTCATTCCGCCACTGCTTCAGCTGTTGGAGCCTGCATTGCAGAGCCCGGATCCTATGTGTCGGCGCTCATCTTTTATTTGCATGGGCGTCATTGCCGAGGGCTGTTCGGATGCCATCGTACATAAGTATCTGGAGATCATGCTTAACATCATCAAAGCCGGAATTGCTGACTCCGCTATGATGGTGCGCGTTGCAGCATTCTTCGCTCTTGGCCAGTTCGCTGAGTATCTGCAGCCAGCAGTTTCAAAGTTTGCGTCCCAGATTCTGCCCGTGCTGTTTGACTATCTAAGCCAGCTGGTAGTAGAACTTAAGGTAGGTAGTTACTGCAGCCATGTCTTGCAATTCGGAATCTTTCTGTACTTTACATTTTATTTATTTGTTTGTTTGTGCTGCTTCTAAAGGCTGGCCATGACAGCAACGGGAGCGATACCGCTTCCGTCCCTGCCAAAGATACCATAATGTACTTAGACAAGTTACAGATCAAGCGCATATCGGTCCTCGCCAAATATAGGGTGCTTTATCATTCTTACATTTCACTTTGATATTTGATTGCACTTCATTTACCTCGAATCATTCGAATACTTTTGGTTGTCAAACCTTTCTATTTTAATATTGCATTTACATTTCGCAAACTTTGTTGCATTGTTTTTATTATGTTTATGTTTATTTTAATAACATATTTGAACATAATTATATGAATAGGGTTCGTCATTGTAGAAAATTCATATTTCACTCTGCACGAAAACACAACTATTGCTTTCCACGATCACACTAAAAATAAATCTTTACAGATGGGTCAGCCGGAACCGAAGCATATGGATCGAATGTTCTATGCTCTGGAGACCTTCTGCGAGAATTTGGAACAGGATATTGTTCCACATTTGCCCATCCTAATGGATCGGTAAGGCTTATCTAATGTAATGTATTTGTTCTTTTACTAAAAATAGTATTTTTTTAAGTTTGTTTGGAATATTGGAACCCCAGCACTCAATGCGCATACGTGAACTAGCTTTGTCGTCCATCGCGTCGGTGTCTAGTGCAGCTAAAACGAACTTGATGCCATATTTCCCCAAAATAATGGTCAGTCTGCAAGCCTGTCTCGTAAAGGAGTGTCCGCCGGAAATGGAAACACTACGCATTCAAGCTATCGACACACTTGCTGCGCTAAGTCGCGATTTGGGAAAGGAGAACTTTATTCCACTTGCCGATGACACAATGAACTTTTGCCTGATGATGCTGGCAGATGGACCTGACGATCCAGATTTTCGGCGGGCCATATATAATTTGATTGCTTCCCTGTCATCAGTTGTCAATGAAAGCATGGCCACTGTTTTCCCCAAAATCATAGATCGTATATTGGAGTCTGTCATTTCTTCGGAGGATGTTTTACCGAATTTGTCGGATAGCCCTGAGAGGGATTTGATCTTGGGATCGGGTAATGATATCGATCTTGAGCACACAGACGATGAGGACGACTCTGAGGATCTGGACGGGTTCCAAGTAGAAAACGATTATGTCATCGAGAAGGAGGAGGCTATTTTGGCACTCAAGGAATTTGCTGAACATACGGGAGCTGCTTTTGCACCGTATTTGCAGTCGGCGTTCGAGAACGTCTACAAGATGATCGACCATCCACAGGACGATGTCCGAAAAGCGTGCGCCGATGCCCTCTGTGGGTTTATCGTGGCTCTTAGTAAATTGGGAAATGAAGCCGGCTTGAAGCTCGCTTGCGAGATTGCCATTCCAAAGTTCGCACATATGTTGCGCACTGACGACGATGTGGCGGTTGTCGTTCACCTGCTTCAGGGACTCGCCGATCTCTTTAAGGATGTTAAGGCCCCGGCCATAACCAGCCAGGAGCACGCTGACTTAATCTTTGGCTGTATTAGGGACATCTTTGTCAACAAAATGGCGTGCCAGTTTACTGAACAAAGCGGCGGCGGCGATGAGGAGGATACTGAGGACAGCGAGTACGAGGAGTTGCTAATCGAAAATGCTGCCAATCTTTTGCCAATGTTTGGCTATACTCTACAGCCAGAATCTTTCTCGCTATACTTCGGGCGTCTTTACCAATTCTACATCCAAAAGCTGGTAAGTCCTAAGAAAAATATTTAAGAGTTCAATTCGAAGTATAACTTTGGGATTTTTTTTTTATTGATTTGAAAACAATTTTTTTCCAGGCTAAGGCGAAAAAGCAAGATATGACAGAGCACCGGATTTACATCTATGGCTCTCTGGCTGACTGCTTCGTATCGCTGAAGGGTTGTTCTGCTACCTATTTTGACGCCCTGTGCCCACTGTTCATCTCAGGTACCAAGGACTCTAATCAAAGTGCTCGTCAAAACTCATATTTCGCCCTGGGCGAGCTTGTCTTTTTTGCTGAAGAAAAGTCATTCGAGTGAGTGCTTCTATAGAGAATAAAGTATTGAAGCGTCTTATATACATTTGAAAAACCCACAGATCATATCCGGTCATCTTGCATGCTCTTTCCGAGGCAATTGTCACTGAATCGAATGCTGCCGCAATGGACAATATTTGCGGAGCAGTTGCGCGCCTGATAGTCACCAATCATCAGGCGGTACCGCTTGGACAGGTCCTTCCCGTGTTCCTTAACCATTTGCCGTTAAAGGAAGAGTTTGAGGAGAACGTCATGGTTCAGAAGGCGTTCCGCGTGCTCTATTTGCAGGCTCGCCCCAACATTGAGGCCTATCTTGAGCAGATGTTGATCATCACTATTAACTCGGTTTTCCTGAAACAAATTCCAGACTCCGAAACAACCGAGAGCGCAGTTGCTTTCATTAAAGAGATACGCGCTCAGTATCCGGACAAGTTTAACGCAGTAACGAACTCAAATCCGGAGATTTTTAATTATGTGCAAGCCCTGTAAGCACACATATTCACAAATGCCACTAAATATCCCGGCACACCACACATATGCGCTTGACCTAATTCTAATCCTCCTACGACCTTCGTCCCCAGACTCATCTATTGGAATTGATGCAGGTGACGTGAGGGAATATTTTAAAGATCAAGCTCGGAACTACAATTGTGCTTCTGTGGCGTTAAACTTTCACAAAATGTTATATTTAAAATTTCAAGTTATAGTTTTTCCCCAGGCTCATCTATTGGAGTTTATGCAGCTGAAAGTTATATTTAAAATTTGAAGTTATAGTTTTTCTAAAGCGAAAGACAGCGGATAAATGTTTTCTAATTTATAAAGGCATCCAGTGACACATGAATATGTATTGAATAGTCTGAAATAAACGAACCAATAAAGTTGTGTTTTGTTTAAATATAAAGAATTAGACATCGCAAAAAATGTATTTCACGGTTCTATCTGAATCGCTGTTTCGTTGTTTCTTTACAGGAATACAATGTTGTCGTGAATTTGCATATGCTATATTATAACTTTTTGGAGTAGTCAGGATGTGAGTTGAGAACTCTCTTCTGATACCGCCGTCTTTATGTGGCATTTTAGGTTAAAAGTAAGTTTTTTATGGCTGGTTCTGGATTCTACCAGTGCGCATTTCGACGGATAACCACTTCTCGGACAATATCTGCATGATTCGCGTGCAGCTTCAGACCTGAGTCGACCTCGGTCCAACGTACATTGGTGGCATCGTCACCGGCCATTAGTTCCAATTGGCCAACTTGACTTCCGTCCTCATCGTGAAAATTAAGGGCAGTGGTTTCCAGCCAAGCGTTGTCCGTGTTGCGGAAATCGTCAACATAACCTTGGTACACTTGGACGCCTCCCTCATGGAAAAACTGTTCCACCATGTTGGCCTTGTCAGTGAAGTTAAGCGCCTCTTCGGTGAACTCCCGCTTGAGAGTCACGCTGACATTCTCACCGGGATCAACCATGCCTCCGGGAATGGCCCAAAGTTTGTTGTCTGAACGCTGAATGGCTACCATTTGTAAAATATTCCTGTCGAAAAATCAGGGTTTTTACACAGCTTATAATGATTGCGTCTACTTACTTGCCAGTTGTTGGGTTGGCCACAATGACTCCCTGGTCGTTCCTTTTCCATCGTGTTACTATAGGGTCAGCGGCATGATTTGGACCCCATCTGCCAAGTGAACCACGTCCACTAAGTCCAGTGCGGCCGATCGGATTTAGGGGCAGACCGTCCTGCACATTATACGCGCCATGGAAGGACTTGCGGTTTACTTGGCCATCGAGCTGGTTCCATTGTGGCCGAAACGAATCGCTGGGTAGGGGGGGATCGGCCCATACCTGGCCACCAATGTGTGGCGCTGTATAAACTGGCGGACAGTAATCTGCATACGGCTCTGTCCAGAAAACCTGCTCATCCGACACCGGGAACCGGAGGACAGAGCTTCGTGGATACATGTTATTACGGCACATCAGGTGACGGAATACACCTGGCTTCACTAGCGAGGACATCATTTGGGCGGCTATCAGTGAGTTTTCTAAGGTCAGTACCAAACAAAGAAGCGGCAACAAAGCAATTGCGGAACCCGCCATTGAACTGAATGCTCTCACAAACACAAATAAAGGTTTTGTTTATATACAGTACCGGCCATCAAATTAACGCAGAGAATCAGAAACTATGTAATGTAGTACAAAAAATGTTTATAATTAAGTCGACAAAATTATAATATGAAAGTCTGTAGTAAACCTTACATCCCCTAATGTATTAACTATATTTCATAAAATTACAAAAATCTTTATTTGCCTATTTAATAGAAAAGTTGTCGACTAAAATTCCCTGAAAATATTTGAGCCCCTTAAAAATAATTTATCCACTGGTCACACTGCTCCACAAATTTGAAATCTTAAAGACCCAGTTTATTACGATTCATATTGTTATTTCCAGTAAATACAAAAATTTTAAGCCAACTAACTCATAACGCTTGGTTGGTTTTCACTGAATGCCCCGGACCGAATGAGTTGACGCCCACATTCTTAACCCATTCTAATCCTGGCGCAGCTGCAGCGTCCTAACTTCGATGCCGTCCTTGGTTATAATGTTGATCAGCACAGAATCCCCGGTGTAGATGTCGCGCTCAGCGGCCGAGATGAAGGTGTCTGAGGCCACGCTCACAGCTCTCTCCTTGGTCAAAAGGGGCGCCTCGCCAGATGCCAAGTTCATGTTCTTGTGGCCAATCTGATTGTCCAGCACAGGCTGCAGCAGAGTGCCCGCAGTGCCACCGGCACGGTATTTGGCCTTCTCACAGTGACCGATGGGATCATACGAGTAGACGACGCCAGCTCCTTCGTTGTCGATTCCAGCAAGAATGTTGGACACGTAGTATGGGAAAAAGCGGCGATTGTACATGGAGATGGAGAGCATCTGGGCAACAGCCTCTGTTGTCATAGTGCGCAGATGGGTATGCTCGTAGCTCTGCATGCGCACTTTCATCGATCCTGTCAGTGAGAGGGTATCTGCCCAGCATCCCGTGGAACCTAGCACAGTATTGGGTGATAGCTTAAAGAGCTTTTCCTGAGTTCTGGAGTGGATGTTGTAGCCACTGCTCAACCGGGTGTCCGCCGCAATCACCGCAAAGTCGTCTCCAGCGATGGCCACAATGGAGCTACAAATAGTTTCCCGGTTAGTTAAGCGTTCGACCATACCGGGTTCTATTGCGGAAACGAAAACTCACCCGCCATTAGACTCGTAAGGTGAAAAGTCCTGGTGTTTCACTCCAGGCACCTGGTATTCTGGAAATTGCTCAAAGCCTAATCTGCTCATGTTTCGCTCAAATTTACCAATTAACTTGCCAAGTAAAAAACGAACGAAATGATTTGCAAGTTTCTGGGCTAACCAAAATCACAAAATCAGTGTGAACGTATGAGGCCAAAGCCAATATATTAAAGTAGTCTGCTCTGAATAGTTATCGATAGATATCGGTGATTAGTATTTAAGTGCAGACAGTAATGATTTAAATTTAAATTACTAACATCAAAAAGACAAAAATATTAAAACATGTTAAAGCTCTAGACAATTAAATTTTTTTATTACTGAATTACACTGAATTCGGTCACTTTATTAAAAGAACATATTTATGGTTCATCACACAAATAATGTGCAGTCGTTATTTCTCAAAAAAATATTCAGCTAATTTCTACAAATTCCTAAAATTGTATAACTTAATATTATATTTTTATAAATATAAGTTTACTTTTATTATTTTGACTGAATACAATTTTGTAAAACAGATTGTTATTATTTTGACTGCAGCTGAATATTTAAGAAGGTTTCGTGTTATATTATAAAAATTGTTTTGAATGAAAAGGTTGTTCGACTGATAACATATTTAAAAAAATATAAAATCAGTTGAAAGCCCGCAAATTGGGATAGATATCTTTTAATGAACCGTTCGGATATTTTCAACAATCTTTGGATAAATCTATTTTTACGATATAGCCGCCAGGCCCTCGACACGTTCTCTATACAATTGCCCCCGGTTTTTCTCCACTAAAGCCTTGACATCATAAAACCACTTTCCTACAAAAAAACGAGAAAGTGAACATATGGGAATTCCTTTTGGAAATGCTAAGGCTTACCGATGCTGGTGTTTTGCAGGCAATCCTTAAAGGTCTGACAACCCTCCATGCTCGAAAGCACACCAAAAACAGAGAGATCCGCTAAGCTGGGCTGTTTACCGCCCATGAATTTCGTATTCCGCTTTTTAAGTTCGGTTGTCCACTGATCCAAAGCGTCGTACATGTGCGACCGGACGTCATCGCTTAGGGCGTGTCGACGTTTTAGAATCTTGGCAATAGCCCACATGGCTGTGGCACCGCAGTAGACCATCAGATCGCGCTCCCATTTGGGGAAATGAACATCCCACTCTCCAGCTTGAGAGAACCACTCAAATGTTTCCAGGGACTCGCCCATGGTCTGGTAGCAGTTCGGCGATATCAGGTGCACCAAATGGCTGTCAGCCCAGGTTCTCCATTTGCGATCGTTCCTGCAAAGTAAATGAATAGAGCATGTAATAAAATAGGTTTATTCTTTTTGCTGTAAGTAAAAAAAACGTACAGTATTATTCCAAATAAAAAATGTTGATTAACTAATTATAACTTTCAGAGCTACATTTCTTATATAAAAAAATATTTAAAAGATTCTTATTAATTGGGATGAATAACTCAAGAACTTACTCCTCTGTTTCCTTAGATACTCCCTTCGGAGTGTGTTCGCGGTACATCAGGAAGTATTTGTTTAAGATGTCGTTCTTCTTTTTGCCATCATCGTCAAAGAAGGAGGTGTGTGGATAAAACTGCGCCAGTTCGCCAATGTCCGTTCGCTTGTCCTGGAGATAGGTGGCTATTAAGGATACAATGGCACTGGAATCCACCATCTGGACGTATTTGCCGTCCTGCTGCCGGATGAGCACCATCGGCACTTTTTTAACTGACGACCAGCGGATGTCCTGCCGCAGAACAGCGTCTACTTCAACCACCGCATAGGAGATGCCCATGTAGTCGAGGAAGGCACGAACCTTGCAGCAAAATGGACATGTCTGGAATTGAAACAGCACGATGTCGAGGCCAGAATTGTCCTTAGGGTTAACATAACGCTTGGTTATCCGAACACCCGCCGGAATCCCATTTAGTCGCTGGGGCTTCGTTTCCTCGTGCTCCTTGTGCGAACTTCCGTCTGTCCAGCGTTGGTACATTGTGTACACAGATCCGGTGGCCGCACCTACTGTTGCTCCCAAAATAGCTAACTTGAAGGTTCCATTGGGCTTCTTCTTGGCTCCGCCGTTCTCCACCGCCACTGCAAATTGCCGGCGAGCAAATGCAAAATCCGGATTCCTACTACGGGTCAACAGACGCAAAGTTCCAGTCCCGCTTCCCACTTGGGGAGAACGGATTCCTGTCAAAACTGTGGCAGTCGCTAGTCGAAAACACGACATAATTTGCTTCCTTGTTTTGACTAATACTAAATATTATATTATGCAAAAATTAGCGACTTATCCGTGACTAGAACAATTTATCGATAAGTTGCGTCGGAGATGGTCCTGATAAGCGGATTTGGCTATTATGGGGAGACAATATTGCTAAGAATTGTTTGCTTTTAATAATAACAAAAATATGAATATTTAAATTAATATTCAATAACCTAGTTTAAGGAAGAAAAACTGTGATATTTGAAAATATATGAAAGTTAGATAAGAATTAAAAAAATAAGGATACTTTTTGTAGCATACTTTTAGACACTTAAAAATTCTAAATTTCGTTGGTATTTTTTCAATGTGATCGATAGTTTCCAACAGGGATGCATGTATTCTGGTCCATCTCTACTGAATACAAAAAATATTCAATTTTTGTACTTGTTGTTGTTTTACAATCCTCTCTACATTTGTTTATAAACAATACCGGACCGGAGATGTCGGCATCCGCGGAGAGTATGACAGCCGCTGCATCGTTGGATAAATATGGCGAAGAGGATATCTTCAGTCTGCTAATCCGTTACGGACTATATGTGGGCGCTTTGTTTCAGTTCGTATGCATCTCGGCTGCAGTGTTGATGGAGAATAGCCCAGACAACCTGGAGTCTGGAGAAGTGACAGAACGAGAGGGCGAGCCGGTAAGGACAAGGCTGCACAAGATTCGGAAGCTGGAAAAGAAGAAACGTCGATAGATCCAGATCCCCAGTTAGCATAAGTACGCTCGAATGTATTTAATAGGCGATAAATAAAAGTAGTAGTTTATAGTTCTTAAATCATAAAAATCTAAGAAACTTGTCCTGGCATATTACAACTATTATAAATAGAAGTGAAGAAATACTGAAGACACAATGAGCATAATCTCAGACAAATTTATTTATTAGATTTAAACCTGCGAAGATTTCTGTGGCATTTCCCACCTGTGAATCATCTCCCCAGCCCTTGATCGACGTTTTTTTGGGTGAGGTTGCCGCCCTGGCACGTTTTTTTTTGCACATGACTCAGGGAAGAAAGCTATGACCCCCTTCAGCAGACCCCTTTCTCCATCAAAAAGGCGCTTCTTAGTTTGGCTGTTATCTTTAATTTGGGAATAATATAAATTATAATAATCATATAGTTATTATGTTGCTTGCAATGTTTATTTTTTTTGTTTGTTTTACTTCCCTTTTAACTATGTACGTATGCATGTGTGTAGTGTGTGTGTTTAATGCTCTCTCTCTCGCTCATTCTATATATATCGGTATACATATATATAATAGAGTCCATGCCAAAGGACGCACAGACAATTATCACTATGAATTATTATTATGCAGTAATTAGTTTTAGATTTTTTTATGAATTTTGCGTGGAATTACATTTTTAAGTCAAAACTCATTGTGAATCTTCAGTTTTTTCTTTTTTTGGGAGGGGAGGGCGCACAGGTCGCGTGGCAGGTCCTGGGGGTAAAGGGATTTCTCGTTTCAAAAACGCTCAAATTTCAAATACAACAACTATTTAAAAAGATATTGAAATTGGGTCTAGAAGAGGGATTAGCGGAGGACAGACGGATGGTAAAACATATATGTATGTATGTATAGTAAGATAGTGGATCTCTAGGCCCAGAATGTCTAAATGTGGCTATGTTAAATTCGAAACTCTCTTTCGTGTTTTTTCGGCTTTACGCTATTTACTCGTACTTTTTGTTGTTTTCTAATTCGCTTTATCGCTATTTATCATTATCATCAGTGTTGTTGTCTAAATTATTGTTTAGTTACTCACAAGTGTAGAGTCATCATCGTCACAAAATATAGTATATATAATATATATTTGCTTTAACCCACACACAAAACATGTTCACATCCTGTTAACCCACCATCGCTCGCTCTGCTTCCATATCTATCGCTTCTGGCGACGGTTGTGTTGCCCCCGGGACGCTGAAGCTGGAGTTGGAGCCGAAGTCCAGGCCCAACTAAGCCTCAGGCAGCGGCTTCAGCTCCTTTATCTGCTTGATCAGATAGGCCTTCTCGTCGTTAAACTGCTCGTCTTCGGAGCGGTCCGTGTGGAAGTTAGTCAGAAAGTCGACAAGCTTTGTCTGGTTGCGCAGCAGGATGTCCAGGATAGGCTTCGGCTTGTTGGGGTTCGCCACAAACACCTTGAAGACGTGAAACGCCTCGAACTGGATGTTACGTGACTTCTCCTTGAGCATGTTCATCATCAATTTGAGGTTTTCGGGCTCGGAGATGTAGCGCGTCATCACGGTGAAGTTGTGCCGGTCCAGCAGCAGTTCACCAAGCAGCTTCAAGCTCTGACGCCGCGTTACATAGTTTTCTGAGTTGAGCAGCCGCTGGTAGTGCTGCGAAAAGAACTTGTCGTAGTTAGCGTCCAGAAACTCGGCGCACAGCAGCTTGTGGCGCGTGAGCAGTTCCTTGAACGTAGAGAAGGCATCGCTGGCAATGTCGAAGGTTGACACCTCCACGTAGCGGAAGAACTTGAAGAAATCATCGGAGTGCAGCATAATCTTGGCCAGGGCCTCGTAACGAGCGCACTCCCTCAACATGGTGCCAGAGTTCAGGGCGATCTCTGGATGCGCATCCTCGTAACCGCCCATCAGAGTGAACAGGATCTCCGGCTTCGTGCATATATACTCTACGGTGGGCGAACGGGTGCCTATTTGGCGTCGCAGCACATTGTTGAATATCAGGGCCACATGCTTCTTACCCTCGAAGTCGATGCGGTGCAGGTTTTGGATGAGCAGAAGCAGCAGGTTGCTGTTGTACAGCTCCTGCGACAGCTGGGCCACCACATAGTCCGCTGGCGGCTCGGCATCACTGCTTCCGTATAGCATGTTCTTGATCGATACTAGGTTCTTGCTGACGTCCTCTTGCGCCTTCTCAACCTTGCGGTCGCCCGCCTCCAGGGCGTTAATCGCCTCCTTTAGCGACTTGACCAGCTCCACTGGTGACTTCTGGGATTTCCCGAACAATGGCATTCCGATGAATTCTTCGCTGTGTTTTTACTTGAAATTAGATGTGGATTGGGATTTGGCTGCGGATGTGGTTGTCGTTGTGGTTGGCCTGTCTCGTATCTTCTGCCGATTATCCTGCTATTCGGGGATCTTCAAGTGTTGGCTTTCTGGTCGTTCTGGCAGTTGCCCAATTACCGACGGCAAAGACGCGGAAAACAATGCTTGGCAATATTATCACGGTGGAATATTCTATTATTATATATTATTTTTTTTTTCTCCCGATAGGCCTCGGACAAATGGCATCTCCTCTCCTGATATCGATTAACGATAGGAGTTCTACATGTGGCATCACCAATATCGATACACGCTGGGCACGGTTGATGGCAACTCCTAAGATTGTTTCACGATAGACATTGGCTCTAAATACGGCATCCCCTTAAATCGATTAACGATAAGACCAGAGCAAATGGATTTTATTTAAATGCTGATTTGTTTGTGGTTAATATAAAAATGTTCTCTGAAAGCAGTAAGCATTTAAAAAAGTTCTCAAATAAATAGTTGTTTGTTCATAAAATATTTTTAAATTAATAAAGGAAATCAAATTGATATTGAGAGGTTTAAAAAGAACAGGACTCCCCCTTTTCAACCTTTTACTGATTTAAAAAAAAATAGTCAATAATCGATAAACATCCAAAAGCCAGTAATGCAAGTGTCAGCGACGATTTAGCAACCCGCTAAAACAAGGAGTTTTGAATTCTTTAAATATCGTTTTTATTTCTCATTGAAGTACTTTGTTTTTGATCCGTTTTCGTTTTAGATATTATTGCAGCGCATATCAGGCGCTTTGTGTATCATAGAAGTTACAGAAATATATTTGTGTATATATATTGGGCAACATTTCGCTTTCATCTTGCCAGCTGTGTTGGCCCACTTTATCAAGTCAGGGCAAAGGAAAAGGACTTGTAGGGCTAAGGAGAGGCAATCTATTTTATGCACATCAATATTTATAATTATATCTGTAGGTTTGACCGCCCTGCATATTTTACAGGCTGCCCCTCGCCTCACGTTTTCATTTTATTTATTTTGAAATAATTTTATTTGGTTTTTGTTTTTTTTTTAATTCTTATGTGATTTTTGTTTACGTATAAAAGTTGTTTAAAATCCTTGAAAATATCATAATAATTACAATTGGTTGTGTAATACGTCTTAAAAGCATTTCGATGCGCTTCTTAATCGAACATATATTAAACATAAAATCAATTTAGTCTTTTCCACTAAACATATCAATTTGAGTAGTAGTAGTTGTTGTTATCAGTTAATAATAATATCTTTGGGCTTTGCTACTATGTATGTAATGGTTACGCCGAGTACATATCATATCATATCATAGACATATATGCTCCAGGCCTTAAAACACACGATCGAAAAGAAGTCGCGCCTACATGCATTCCGAAGAAGGTTCAAATTTCGTTTCTGTTTCCGTTTTTCTTAAAGGGGGAGTGTTGTGGTCGTTAAATGTATAATATAATATCTTTAAATTTTTATCTTGTAGAAGTATGTAAATGTATAGGTATAATAAAACATTTTACGACTAGTATATGTAAATATATGTATGTATATGTATATATGCATTGCGTTTTCTTTGTAATTACTAAGTTTATTGAGATATTCTATGAATATATTTCCTTTCATTCTTAAGCCATGTCTTGTGTCTTTCTATATAAAACAAACGAAGCGCGAATACGTTTTAGGGGGAGGTTGGAAAGGGGTTGAGTGGGTGGGAGGAGGGGTTCCCTTACTTTACAATTAAAAACAAGGATCCTCCCGCGAGACCTTACCCAAATTTGCTTTGCAACTCATTGTTTACTGATTTCATATTTGTTTTGTTTTTTGTTTTTCTGGAAGCGTTCGTCGGGGCTCTGCACAGATCTGACTAGATATATATGGGTATATATAATAGAAGCTACTACTACACGCTACCAAGTACGATACATAGGTGTCCTCCTCCGATTTAGTTGCTGCTGCTGTCGCTGCTACTATAGTTGTTCTTTCTTCTTCGCTGGGCTTGAAGTTTCGTTTCCTGTTTTCCTTTTCCTGTCTCCGGCTCGCAGCCTCCGCTTCGGTTTCCGTTTCCACGGGGGATGGTGTGGTTGGATGATTGGGTCTACAGATTGGGGCCCCATCACTTGCGCTTGATGAAGTTGCCTTCGGCATCCAGCCAAATGCCCTGATGTTGGTCGGGCGCGTCCATCCCCCGTCTTATCATTTACCTGTTAAGAGCATTGGAGATCTGGCGTAGCGACTGACCCACCTCGGCTACCAGGCGCTCGTTGTCCTGAACATTCTTGCTGCCAGCGGATCGCAGATGCTGCGACTGGGCATCCACCCGAGTAACCAGCTCTCGAAACTGGAACTTGGAGTGCGGCGGCATCGCCCCGTTCTCCGCAAAGATCACGCACGAGTTGTGCAGGATGTTGAGCTTGTCGCTCAACTGTAGCCACTGAGAACCAGCGATGGCATTAACCGGGTGCTTGAGTGAGCCCTCTAGCAAGCCCACCAGCTCTAAGATGCTCTCCCGCGAGATCTGGGTAGAACTAGCGGATCCAGAGCTGGCCGGTTCGGCTAGCTTGGCTATTGGTGTGGCGTAGATGGTCAACTTGGTGGGCTTGTGTGGCACCGCTGGCTTTTGCTGGATCTGCGGCTTCTGCTCGTACAGCGACTGGGTCATGTCAGGTGCTCCCTGTTCCAGTCCATCCGGATGCGACGGCTCCTCGTCATCTGGGAATAGTTGCGTTGAATGAGAGGTTTTTATTGTGCTGCCGGCCTGCTGCCTGCTGGTGCAATCTCTACTAGAGGTGCTAGTGGATGTGGTGGAGGAGTTGGAGGTGGTGCAATTCGGGGGCGGTGGTGGTGGGGCTGCCGGTGGCGGCTTATTGCCCGGTTTGGCTGGCAAGGTACCACCTGAACCGATGGCTCCCGATTTCATCCCATATTTGGGCGACAGCTGGGCATTTGGTGATCCACCGCCATTTACCACCGAAGGCTGCTGCTGGAGAACTGAGCTACTTGCATAGTCCGGCGGCGGATGTTGCTCCCACAGTTTCTTTAAGTTATTAATACTACCTGTGCTCCGTCGCTTTCCGAGATCGCCCTCGCCCGCTGCTCCCGTTTCTGCATTCTCCACATTTGAGTTGGTCACGTCGATTTTGATTTCAGTCTTTTGCACGGCCTGGGCGAACTTCTTGCTGCTATCCTCCTTACGGTTCAATGTGCCCGTGGTATTGCAGTTGGCGTTGTTGGTTACGGGTTGGGCCACTGGTGCTGGAGTTGCCGGTTCTTTCTCCTTGTCAACCCGACGCAGATGGGCCTTGAAGTCGATGATGTTATTGGCCGGTTCCGCCTTGGCCATTGGCGGACTCATCTTCTTCTGTTCCACTTTCTTGAGCTGAGCCTTGAAACCGGATCCCGAACTATTACCATTGGTCAGCTTTTGCTGTGGTGGCGAAGGCTTCGGCAGGTTCATGCTTTCGGCCAGTTCGGTGACCAGCAGAGATACGGGATCCACGGCTGCGATTCCCGACCCATTGGCGAGAAGCGGAGCCGGAGCACTCTCCTTTCCGGCCGCCTTGATCTCTGTAATCAGTTTTTCCTTGAGATCTTCTGGTGGGCTGCCTAGGGAGCTGCAGGAGTCTGTGGAGGGCTCGCGCTTTCTCAGAGACACTCCAAATCTTGAGCTTGCCTCCTCCACACTGGGAGCAGTATTGCTCACATCATTGTGGCTGCTGTCATTATTGTTCGTTCCGTTTCCATTACTGATATTGCCATTGTTGGGCAGTTGGGCATGCAGATGCTGCTGAATGGCCTGTACAGCGCTCTCTGGAGCCGGAGGTGGAGGTGGTGGTATTCCCTCGAATTCCTCAGGCGGCGGTGGTAAGTCCAGCGGTGGCGGCGGAAACTCTAGATTAGCCAGAGCCGGCTGGGCACCTGATCCCACTCCAGATCCACTTCGCTTGGGTGAACTACTGGAACCACCCGCCCGGAAGGATGAGAACGTCATCATGGTGCCTTCGGTGGTAGTACGATGACGCTGCAGCTTGTTTACACTAGCAGCCGCATTGTTTTGCATGGTCACTCCACCCGAGGAGTTGCTCCGAATCATTTGCTGTGGCGGAATGGGACTGGCCTTAGGATTGATTCTTGCCGCCGGTGGCGTACCGTGGCCATTCGCTGGTGGCGGAGCAGGAACAGTTGCCGGGAGAGCAGGAAGAGCTTCGCTACTGTCCTCCAGACTGTCTAGATAGGCCCCAATCCTGGCCACCTTGGGAAGCGTTCCATAGCGATTCACCACTCGCTTTACATTCATCACTTCCAGAGCTCCAACGGTTATTGGATGGGCAGTGGTCACCGCACCGTTGCCATGATGCGGTGGGGTTGGTGGCGGTGCTGGAGCCGGGGCCTGTGGATGCTGTTGAGAACGCTTGCTCTGCCGGGTTTCCAGACCCCTGTTGCCCATTACGGGCGTCCCAGTTGGACGTTTGAATGAGCTGTGCTGCTGTGAGGATCGAGGACCGATGCCACCGCCGCTGTGGAGAGAATGCTGCATCTTGTTGTTGGCAGGAGCGGCGATAACGTGGCTCAGATTTTGCTCTAGGCTATCGCCCGTGGCGTCTGTGTCCGGGTCGGCTGTCGGATCCGTTTCTGAGTCATAGCGCTGCGTCAAACTGTTGATGTCCCGCGATAATCCTGCCAAGTTAAAGAGTAAGAAAAAAGATAGAGGTGTTTACTTTAGTTCAGTGTTGAAATGGTTAATAGAATGCTTCGTGCTGGGTGCTAGATGCTGGGTGGTATTACTGATCAGTGATGGAAAATCCATTCAAGTCGTGAAATTTCAATAAAAAGAACAAAACTTTAGCAAAAACAATTGGTGACTGATAAAAATTTCCATCACTGTTAGGTGGGCATAGGTTAATCCTGACCAAAGTCTTGTTGTTATGTGTGTGTGTGCGTTGATGTTTGTCGAGCAGGTAAAACTAAAAAAAAACACCAAAATATCAACTTAACAAAGAACAATGAGGTGTGTACATCTGGTCGAACCTTGAAAGTATTTTTGGAAATTATGTTCACCATTACGAAGGATTAAAATTAGCGACGTTCAAAAGTTATTAAAAATTGGTTACTAATCGAAATCGCAAAACATTGTTGCAGTCCGTGTGTCTATGTCAATAGGAAGTCTTTCTTTTTCAAGATTAACGAAGTTCCAATTCAAATTTTAAAAAATATTATAAATAAAAAAAAATTTAAAAAAACATTTCAAAGTTGAACTTTCAAGGATGCAGACCATGTGTGAACCAGATATAAAAAATGTAAAAGGCTGATAAAATAAACAACTTAAAGTTAACAGGCAAAATAATAAAAACAAACATGAAAGGCAACAAAATAATAAAATTACAAAATAAATGAAAGACGGATTAGACGGATATGTTTTGGGAATATGTTAATGAGAGATCAGAGAGAAAAGTAACAACATTAGGAAATCATAGACACAAGAATAACTTTAAAACTAAATTTAGAAACAAACCAATGCGGAGTCCAAACATATATAAAATAATTTAGAAAATAACCAATAAATAGAGAACAAAAGCCAATAAAAGCGAACCATTAATAAAATACAACAGAACAGAATACAGGAACCAAAAATAAAACATAAACAATTTTTGAATTTGGAGCTTTTAGCTATAGACTCCGTTGACGAAATACCTCGAAATAGGATGTCGTAAAGGAAACTACTGCACGAGGACGATTTCTTAATAGAGTACTGTTGTTGTTTCTGTTGTTGTTGTTGCTGTACTGGCAATGGAACGGTTTGTTGTTGTTGTTGTTGTGTACGTATTTGGTATGTGTGGTGGGTTGGAATTTGGGTCTTGAAATTTCTAGAGAGGGTCTGGCTGAAATAGTTGGCAGTTTTCAATTTGGCTATACCATTCGTGGTGAGGTCGTCGATGAAATTGTTACGGGCGGTGGCAGGATCCTCCTCCCGATATGTGGAGTCCCGACTGCTTGAGAGCAGGCTACATATAGAAAGGAAAATGTTTAGTTAACTAGATTATAGATACATTATAGGATAGGCTTACGACTTAAAAACTATAAACATTATAAACTTAAAATGTAACTTATTTATCAGCTAAACCATAAGGAACAGTTTGACAGAAAGCAAATACAAATTATTTTTGGTTTTGAATAAAATTAAAGTTATATTCGATTGGATATCTGTTAATGAACTCATTAAACATAGTCTTGCTCATAGTTTGGGAAACTCCCATGGCAAAAGTTTTTGGTAATTTTGAGATAACACTTTCTACTTTAAATATTCCTCTGATAAAACCGATCCATTGTGCTGTAGAAGTCGGCTCACCTTGTTCGCTTGGGTGGTGCGGGCGCCTGTTTGCCCTGCTTGTTGGTGGTGCGACGCATCTGAACGTTGCCCTTGCCCTGGCTGGAGAAAGTGCTCAGCTTGGTGGAAGTAGAGCCGGTTTCTGCAAGAATGCGAAAAGAGTTAGAATAGGATCTACTTCGTAATGGATTCAATCTCACCTGACATTGGCGTACTGGCCTGTTGCTGGTGCGGATCGTTGTGGTGGGCATTCGGCGTGAGAGACTGGCCGCCGGGCAGACCCTTCTTCACCATCTGCGGTGTTAGACTGAGCGAGGCGGTGGCCGAGGATGAGGAAGCGCAGCCGCTGGCCGCCGTCGCTGATGTGGCTCCTCCGCCGGTGGCCACGCCCGATGTGCTCGGAGCGGAGCTGCTCGCGCTGGTGGCGTTGGCGTTCAGCTGCTTCTCGACCGCTTCGGTGATGGACGATTCCTGCGGAGGAGCGGAGAAGGAGAGATGGGCACCATGTGGCTCATTATTGCTATCACTACTTGCTGCACCCTCGATCTCGAGCGATCAGAGCACGTCGACGAGGTGGTGGCGGTGCCTGTGGCTATGACTATGACTACTCCTATTCCTATGGCTATTGCTATGGCTATGGACATGGCTGTGTATGCTGCCGTTGTTCTGCTGGAGCTCGTCGTCGTCGTCGCCGTCGTAGTCACTCGCCTCCTCGCCATCATCGTCATGATCTTCGTTATCATCATCATATTCATCGTCCCACACCTCGACGTCACCCACCTGAAACATGTGCTCCAGCGCATGGTGTATGCTCTTGAACGTGGGCCGGTCGGTGGCATCCCACTGCCAGCACTGGCGCATCAAGTCGTACACCTCCGGCGGACAGCCGGGGGGCCGCTCCATGCGATAGCCCTTCTCCAGCTTGTGATAGACGTCGGTCAGGTCAATGCCCGGATACGGCGACATCCCGTACGTGGCAATTTCCCACAGCAGCACCCCGAAGGCCCAAACGTCCGACTTGGTGCTAAACTTGTTGTACGCCAATCCCTCAGGTGCCGTCCACTTGATCGGGAACTTGGCCCCAGCATGTGCCGTATACGTGTCGTCCCGCATCAGGCGCGCGAGTCCGAAGTCCGCCACCTTGACCAGCTTGTTGTCGCCCACCAGACAGTTGCGGGCGGCCAGATCACGGTGGATGTAGTTGCGCGACTCCAGGTAGCTCATACCCGATGCTATCTGAGTGGCCATGTAGAGCAGTGCCACAGCATCGAGTGTTTCGCGGCCGGCGGAGCGCAAGAAGTCCAGCAGATTGCCGTGCGACATGAACTCTGTGATGATGTAGAAAGGCGGTTCCCTAGTGCAAACCCCTAAAAAGAGAAATTCAATGGATCAGCGCAATACTTAACATAAATGTTTTAGAATACATATTAAGATCCTTCTACTTACGGAACATAGATCATTACCACAATCTTTAATACCCACCTATGAGCTGCACCAAATTTGGGTGCTTCATTTCCTTCATGATAGCCGCCTCTTCGAGAAAGTCTTTAAGTGCCATAGTATCCTCTTTAAGCGTCTTAACAGCCACTGTGTTATTGTACCGCTTCCAGACGGCCTCGTATACCTCACCGTACTGACCGCCGCCAAGTTTGTGCTTCATCATAATGTCCGTTCGACAAATCTCCCATTCATCCGGCTCAGGACTCAGCGGGAAGACGGTGGGCTTGTTCTGCTTGGGTGCCGGATACAGGAGCGGTGTGATCAAGCCATGTCCCTCATGAGGAACACTGTGGTGATGCACTAGCTCGGCCAGAGTGTTGAACTTGGCCTCCTGGGTGACGAAGACCTTGCCATCGGGATCCTCAGAGATGCGGTAGTGATAGACGCGACCCTCGTATCTGTTTGTGGGAAAGCATTCAAGTTAATATGGAAAATGCAATGGAAACCGGAAATATCTCTTCTTACCTCAGACTGATGCTCCTTTGACCCGGTGAACTTTCACTTTCACGTACCAGAAAGCTACCATTGATTCCGGAGCTCAACAGATACTCAGCGGCATTACGTGAGATGGGGCCGTGGTACCAGGAATGCTTCTCCAGTGAATTGAGCGGCGTCACGTAATTGGAGGGCACCCATCCCACGTTGCCAGAGTCCGAGTGCGCCTCGCACCACTCTCCTGATTTGTTATAGCTTAGAATGCGCACCTGTTCGCCCTTCTTCAGACTCAATTGATTCTCTCCACCGGCCTGAAAGTCATACAATGCCACAAAAAGTTGTGGATCATCTTCCTCGGGTCCGGGGGCTAGTAGATTCTCCTTGGAGGTCCACCGGTGAGCGGATTCAAATACCGATGTGGTTGAACTATGTCCACCGCCGAGCGTGGCGCCCTGTAGTCCCAGTCCGCCGGAATCCTGCTGATGCTGTTGTAGCTCCGCCGCATCCGCCAAAAGAGAGGCCGCCGTGCTTCCGGCCGGAATGTGAGGTAATGGACGCGACTGCAGCAGGGCTTCTGCAAGGTTAAGATTGGGATGATTTAATGATTACCTTTAAAGCTTCCAGGTAAAATGCGATCTTAGTTTGGTTTAAATATTATGGCCTTTTAATTATTTTTTCAAATCACTTTTCTCGGTGTACAAAGAGAAGACAATGCAGGTAAACCCGTTTCTCTTCCGAGGAATGCGGGCAATTTGCGGAGCAAGCTGCTGGCCAGCGGGAAAAGGGGGACATTGGATTGCAACTCTCTGCTCCATTGAGGGAATGGAATAAATTATGCATTAAGCGGAATAAAATTACACAAATCGTTGTCTGCCAGCGGTGGACCAGGAATCCCTCAACGAGGCATTTTATTGTGGGAAGTTCTAACTGATTGTCAGTCGGTTGGTTTGTCCCCTCATCCCGTTCATTCTTTCCACCTCCCACACTCTATTCTTTTTTTTTTTCACGGGTATCTATAGCTGTGGTGTTCCCGGTATCTATATGGCTGCATCTATGGGATGCTATCCGGAAGGAAAGAATTTGTTTCCATGCATTTGTATGGATTTTTTCTAAAATATATTATTGTGTATACATTCATGTTGAATGCCGAATATAAAAAATCATCTACATTTTAATACTTTTAGGTAAAAGGTATCAACTAGTTTACACACTGGTTGAAATCCCCTTTTCTTTTACAAAGTTGTTCTTAAGAAGCTTGCAGTCCATTTTAAGATGAAGTTACGCTTGATAGACAGTGCAAACTTGTCAGATCCAAACCTGTCCGAATCAAGCTTCTATAATAGGGAACTTTTCTAACTAGACTTTCGCTTCAATGTCCCATTGAAATAATTATAAAAATTTACATTTTTCCCATTTTATTTCTTTCGGTGCGAGCTGCGTTTGACCAAAGCAAATGCTTCCGCTGCATAAATATTCTCCACTTTCATGGACACAATTGTGCATAAATTTGGGTGAAGTGGAAGTCATTCAGAGACCGGGAATCTTTGGTTTGCGGTCGGTGTGCTAAGCAGTCATAAACCGATCCAAATCATATTGTAACGCATTTGAGAAGGGTTCCCCAACGCACACACTGTTAATTTATGCGCGCGAGACAGGAAATATTAATAGCGAATAATAGGTGTGGAGTGGGTTTTTGGGGTATAAAAGGGAATATAGGGACAGATTAGAGCGGAAATGTACAGTTCTCCAATGGTGGTCTGTCTGCCTGTCTGTCTAAATTCCCTTATCCCCCCTTCAAAACCAAATATTAGCCGTCGACAATCTACACCCACTTTATATGCAATCTGGTACATTCAAATTTAGAGAAGAGATTTTCGGAATCGAGTGACTCACTTGGGCAACTTCAGTACTGGGTGTGAGGATCGAGAATACTTTGCCATTGACTCAGATTTTTTAAGGGGTAATCAAGGAATTCTAACGATGCTGAGTCAGCTTTAGTAGGTGTTGCATAAAGCTTAATTATCATAATTATCGTTAAATTGCTGTAACAGAGATTGTATAACGAGCTAGTCTTCTTGATTTAAACGAATTCAATACCAAAACTTAAGTTAGGCAAAAGATATATTTTATTATTATTTAAATGAATAAAAGTTCATTGTAGAAACTATTTTTAAGCTTGAGTTGAATCACAATTTTTGGTCAAAAAGAAAAAACAAAGAAATGAATACTTAATGTTATGTATAAAAACATATTTTAACCATTCTGCAATTTTTAAGGTATGACTAGATTGTTTCCGACTGATAATTTTACCTCAGATACCATTCTCATCACTGCTTAAAAAGCCAAAAATCATCGTTCTATGTATAAAACATATAACGAAAATAACCCAATCATCCCAATGGAAACCGCTCTTTAATTAATAAGAATGACACTACTTATGTTGACTTTTACATCGGTTTTTCAGTATTTTTGTTGGCTTGTAGAAGTTTTCGTGGTTGTTACCTAAGTTCATGTGATATTTGCCTGGATGGCCGCGAAAAGAGCTGTGCTTGGTACCTGCAGAAACGAAAGAAACAGAGAGATTTTGTGTGAGAGACAGGTTGTCAGCCGGACTGGAGAATTATCTATGGATAGAGCAGGCAGTTTTTCATGTTATCATCTAATAACGATGGGCGGCAAATGCGATGAACTACGACTATAGAAGTCCGAGGGGGCTCCAAAACAAAGTGATTATTTTACAAAACAAAATCATAAGGAAACTAAATTAAATACAATTATCTTAGTCATAACTCTAGGTAAGTAACATAAAAAACAATGTACAGCGAACTATATACAGTTAGCGGATGGATGACATCAAAAGCGGAGAGGCATTAGAGAATTAGAGGGTCTTGCAACCGCAGAAAGGCCAATTAGCGACCCGGCCAGAACAAGAAGAAGAGTAATAATAACAGCAGCAGCCAGATGATGGCTTCAGTAAGTGCTGTAATTTCTCAGCCAAGTGAAAAGTATCTCAGTAATTCTGGAAAACCTAACATGCGAGTGTGCGTACACTTAAAGTAAAAGTTTAGATTTAAAATAATTAATTTTGAAATAACGAATCTCGGTTGTTTGGTATTACAGATTGTAGGCATTCTTATTTATTAATTTAAGAGAATATATACAAACAAAAAATAGTTTTACTTTTAATTAGATACATTTTTTTTGAGTGTGACACGCCCCCTAGACATTTGACAAAAAAAAAATGGGAGTCTGGAGAAAAGAACGAAGAAATATATGCCCTATTCAGGGAGCTTAAGCTGCTGCTCAAGCGGAATGGGTCCAATGAACTTTAAAGTCACAAAAATTCTACACATGTCGGAAGAGAAAAAGGCGGGGATATGGATAAAGAGGGAGATAGATATAGAGACATGTCTCAAGCCATGCACATCCGCCATCTAGCGACTGCTTATGCAGGTTATTAGCGTGAATTTGGAGCATCTCGAGCTGAGGGCTGATTACGAGTGAAATGATGCGCGGCAACGCTGCCCCACCCAGTGGTACCCTCCACCAAGCCTCCACCAGACCACCCATTTCCCACTCGCAACTATTCAAAGACTTAACGGTAAGTGTGTTGAGTAAGCACAGATTGAAATCAGCCGCATCAGCAGCTGAAGTCCCCTCCAAAAACCTATGCAACGATACAAAAAACCAGATACAGTGTTTGCCGTGTAACTAGAACTTTTCGATTCAGTTTATCTTTTACAAACTAAATTTAGAGTTTTATAGAGTCTTCTCTAGTCTTCTAAGTAAGACCCATTAAGTTTCTTTGAGTAAAAAGATTTTTAAAAACAAGTTTCTTCAGAGTTTGCTTAAAGTAATAACTATTTTGAAATTCAATAATTCTGGAAAAGCTTAGTACCAAATAAGTTTGACCGATTATATATATGTATACGAGGTGTGTTCAAAAAGTAAGGTGACTCTTCAAATTTCGCGAATTTCAAATTTTTCGATTATCGAAACCTTTTAGAAGTTATACGAGGTGTGTTCAAAAAGTAAGGTGACTTTTCAAATTTCAAATTTTTCAAATTTTTCGATTATCTTCAGTTTTGGGAACAAGAAAAAGTCACATGGGGCCAAATCCGGTGAATATGGTGGCTGAGGCATTATTGTGGTGTTGTTTTTGGCCAAAAAATCCAAATCCTTTGATCCATATTTTTCGATAGCAAAAAATCGCCGAGCTCGCAAAATAACTTGTAACTTTACGCCTCTCACAACCAAACAAAAGAGGATGTTCCATTGAAACTTGGTACAGATGTTAGGGAAGAGTGTACCAATATAACAAAACAAAAAAATCGATAATCGAAAAATTTGAAATTCGCGAAATTTGAAGAGTCACCTTACTTTTTGAACACACCTCGTATATACCCCACATCAACTTTTAAAAAGCTTTTCATTACAGCCTTGGCTCTAACAGTTACTCATTGCGAAGTGTCTCTTGAGATTTCTTTAGTATCCGTCCTTTGTTTGGCGATGTCTGTCCTTGTCCGGCAAGCATTAAACTTGATGTGTCTGCTATTTATTATCTGCGGATATAAAGCTTCTGTTCGGTCGTTTTTCCTACAAATATCTGCTTCAATGTGTGATTTATTGCAATGCATTTTCAACTGCTCATTCATTATTTCATTCGCTCAGTCTGTCATCCACATTCACACAGGCCATTCACACACTTGTTCTGTGGGTTTGATTTTGTGGCACTTTCTGGTTTGCTCGTTTGTGGCTCATTGCATTTCAGCACGTTTCGCTTCTAAGTTCTATGTTGTTTTTTCTACTCTATTTTAGCTTTGTTTTTTCTACGTATTTTTGTGTTTTCAGCTCAAGGGCTTTTGTGTCTTAACCTGGCAGGGATTTTCAGCTGGCCTCGGTCTCTCGTCTCCTCTTTTTATCACCCTTTTTACTCTACTTGTCGGATTTCATTCACATTTTGCCTTTGGCCTCTTGGCCAGACATCCAGACGTTTGTATGTATATATATTTGTTGCAACTACATATACTTATATATATATATATATGGGGGCAGGGGGCGTGGCCAGTCAACAGTAATAAACTTTTACGGTGTAAATTTAATTAGTCATTTCTCTGGCTTCCGTTGCAACGTCGAGGAGTGAGCGAGAAAATAGGGGGAATTCCCGGGGGTTTGATTTTAACTTTTTCTACCTTTCAATTTGATTAAAGTAAAGGGCAGAACTTAACCATATACAGAGGAAATCAACTTAAAGGCAACCTTATATAAGCACTTTAAATGCTTAAAGTAAGAAAGCATTATTCATAATATCTTTTTAACAGCTTTATTTAAGTGATAAAATATTATTAAAAAATATTTTTGGTGTTATTAACTATCAAAAACTGTATCTACATTTTTCATTTTTTTTCTTTCTTTAAAACAAGAATGCATTTTCTCAACTTTATGGCTTAATGATAACTTTTGAAGCGGAACTTTTGAACGAAACTTGAGATCATTAAGCTGGCAGACTCGATTAGAGCAACAAAATACGCCCCTAAGGGAAATAGAAACCGAAGCTAGTTAGGGAAACATAAAGAAATTAACCTACAAAGCCAAAGTTTTCCATGCCCAAGTTTCGAGAACAGCATATGGTTATCTGGGAATTTGAGTTTCCCGTGTAATTTCCCCATTTTGACATGAGAAAAAAGCAACTGGTAACTGACAAGGCAAACAAAAAGTTGTAGGAAATGCAGAAAAAAATGTGAAAGAATTTAATTAGTTTTTTTTACACCCCTAGGGCTGAGCTCAAGTTCCTCCCCTTGCATCTTAGTGCGAAAAAATGTTTTGCGAAAAAACTACAAGCAGCGAAAGAGATGGCGAGATGGCTAAAGTGAAATAGAAGATGTGAGCGAACAAAAGGCAAGTTATGTAAAGGCAAAGGGCCCGAGGGTCCAAGGATATAAGGGGTGTCAAGGGGGGTGCAGAGCAGAGGTGGCCAGGACTTGGCCCTGCACTTGGCAAAATGGAATAAAGAAAAAAATGTTAAATATAAAATCCACCCTTGGCTGACAAAGGCAACTCGTCGCACGAAAACCCCTCGACTTCTCCCTTTGGCCACTGGCAATTTTACCACTTTTCTAAGGATTCCGCACTCAAGGCTTACTATCCAGCCATATGCGGGGCGGGCGGGGTCCACGGGGAAAAGGACGAAAGTCGAGGGGTACATGCAACCTAATGTGACGTGTGACGCAGCAGTCGATCTTTCTTTACACTTAAAAAGAAATCATTAGCTTTACACTAGGAAATCTAATAAAAACGCAGAACATTCTACAATTACAATCGATTATATCTTTAATTACTGGAAAGAAAACGCCCAGAGTAAACATATTACAAGGGTATTATCACTAACTAGCAATTATTATTGAAAATCATCTTAGTACTGAAGTTCTGCTTGAATAAACATAATAACTTTTATTATCAATCCATTATCAACAGGCTTTATGTTTAGAATTGTTAAGTTTTCAAGTGGAAATTCCCAGATTCGCAATTTTTCTAAGTGCACCCTCTCGATTCCCTGAGGCCTGCATTTGCCAAGAACTTGATGGAAATCAAGTGAGTGCAATAAATACATATTAAAGTGAGACAGACGGAGCGCAAAAAAGGTGGGACGAAAATCAATAATGAAAACCTTTTCCGCCACAGCCGGGCGGTGCGATCCATAAAATCGCATCACCGCCAGCAAATTAATTGAATGCCAGCATCCAGGCCACAAGAGTACCCGAAATGCAGGCCCAAGTGAGGTGGGGTAGATGGAAGGGATAAGGTGAAGGACAAACGCTGCGACAAGCCCCATGAATAGGCTTATCCTATACTTTGGGAAACGAAGCATTGATTACCCTGTGAAAATTGACGTTTAAATAACTTTAAAGTTTATTAAGTGTGGCAAGTTATTGCAAGTAATAAAGTTAAGTTTAAGTTTATTTCCACAGACTGGGTTGGTGACTGCTGATAGGGAGTCGAAACCCCTAAACGAGATACTCTTTCCAGGGTATCCCTCTCCGGAATTATTAAAAGGTAGCAACAACTTTGTGGAAAAGGTCCTATCGATCCATGTCCCCTTGAATGTGCATTGCTGCTGCTGTCCTTGCCACAAAGTTCACAAAGCTGCCACATTTTTGCTTTTCAATGGTTTTCTATAAAGGGCAGGGGAAAGTTTCTTTCGAAGTTATCTCGACTGGAATCTAGGCCCTTGGTATCGGGCAACTTTATCAATTACAGTCTGCAAGGTTCACAGGAAAAAGCATCCATTCAACCCGTGATGGTATCCATTATCACGTGACCAAGGGTCTGTTGCCTCCATTGTCTAGTGTGAATGAAATTGACTTTTAATTGTCCACGATGACGATGACCAGAAAGCGAACAAAACAAGGCACAAAAACCATTGGCATGCACAATTTGTGTGGCTATGCAAATGACAAACAGAACGGACCCAAAGCAAGGGGGAAAAGCGGCTAATACAACGCGTTGGCCAAGAGTCGGAATTCAATTGCGAGTGTCGAGTGAATGACTCACTCGGC